TATCAGATATTTACATTACAATTCATAATAGTAGGAAAATTAAAGTTTTGAAGTAGCAACGAAAATAACGTTATGGTTGTGGGTCACCATAACATGAGGACCTGTACTAAGAGGTTGCGGCATTAGGAAGGTTGAGAACCACTGGGTTAGTAGATAAATGCTACTTTCTGGGTGAAAGGAAGTGGTCAACTTGAAAGAAAAGAGATTCCTGGTGCCACAACTCCCCTTACCTTCTTTTCAGAGCTGGGAGAAAAGATATTTGCTACACAAGAAAGGGCTTGAAAAGAAAAGGGAAAGGGGGAGAGAAAATGTACACATCACTTTGAAAATGTCATTCACAGCATGTACTCCACTACAATTACCTTGAATTAAGACTTCTTTCTTTTGATTAAATCCCAGGGCTTAATGCCAGTAGTTTCAGCAGACCTTTCATCTGCTCACTTATAATATTCTACTTGTAGGTCAAGAGACTGGAGAGGAGATTTCCTCGCCTAAACTTTCATGTCGTTTGAGAATCCAGCAACACAGTTGCACTGCCAATTGGACCTGCGATTCCATCTTGACCCTGACAACTGACCTTGCAAACCTTAGAGATAGAATCATAGAATCATAGAATCATAGAATCAAAGAGTTGGAAGAGACCTCATGGGCCATCCAGTCCAACCCCATTCTGCCAAGAAGCAGGAATATTGCATTCAAATCACCCCTGACAAATGGCCATCCAGCCTCTGCTTAAAAGCTTCCAAAGAAGGAGCCTCCACCACACTCCGGGACAGAGAGTTCCACTGCTGAACTGCTCTCACAGTCAGGAAGATGGTATAGATATATTTGTAAACAGTTTCTTTTGTGAGGTTTTCACACCCTCCATTTCTTGGCTGTGCAGATGACAAATGCACAATTAAAAAAATGAAAAACATGGCATTGCAAAAGGAACTTCCAAAGAATTGCACGCAAACATGTCCGCTCCAGGTTTTAGGATGGCTCCACACTGTGTAATTAATGCAGTTTGACATGACTTTAACTGGCATGGCTCCATGTTATGGAATTCTGGGATTTGTAGTTTGGTTTATTTATTTGTCGTGTCAGGGCGACTACTCAACTGTATTACATTTCTAACCGAACAAAGCAAACAAACAGACAAAATACAAAATTTGCGAGTTTGGTAGTTGATTAAATGTCCTTTGACCAGTATCTGGCCACTTGGAGTGCCTCTAGTGTTGCTGCAAGAAGGTCCTCCATGGTGCATGTGGCAGGGCTCAGGTTGCATTGCAGCAGGTGGTCAGTGGTTTGCTCTTCTCCACACTCGCATGTTGTGGATTCCACTTTGTGGCCCCATTTCTTGAGGTTGGCTCCGCATCTCGTGGTGCCAGAGCGCAGTCTGTTCAGCACCTTCCAAGTCGCCCAGTCTTCTGTGTGCTCAGGGGGGAGTCTCTCATTGGGAATCAGCCATTGGTTGAGGTGCTGGGTTTGAGCCTGCCACTTTTGGACTCTCGCTTGCTGAGGTGTTCCANGAGCCTGCCACTTTTGGACTCTCGCTTGCTGAGGTGTTCCGGTGAGTGTCTCTGTAGATCTTAGGAAACTATGTATAGATTTAAGTTGTTAACGTGCTGGCTGATGCCCAAACGGGATGAGCTGGAGATGTCTCTGCCTTGGTCCTTTCACTATTGGCTGCTACTTCCTGGCGGATGTCAGGTGGTGCAATACCACCTAAGCAGTGTAATTTCTCCAGTGGTGTAGGGCGCAGACACCCCGTGATAATGCGGCATGTCTCATTAAGAGCCACACCCACTGTTTTAGTGTGGTGAGATGTGTTCCACACTGGGCATGCATTCTCAGCAGCAGAATAGCACAGCGCAAGGGCGGATGTCTTCACTGTATCTGGTTGTGATCCCCAGGTGTTGTGATCCCCTAAAGGTGTTGCTGCTCATCTCCATTTCTAAGCCAAAGAGCCAGCGTTGTCCGTAGACACCTCCAAGATCATGTGGCCGGCATGACTGTATGGAGCACCATTACCTTCCCGCAGAAGCAGTACGTATTAATCTACTCACATTTGCATGTTTTCGAACTGCTAGGTTGGCAGAAGCTGGGGCTAACAGCGGGAGCTCACCCCGTTCCTCGGATTCGAACCTGCAACCTTTCGGTCAACAAGCTCAACCGCTCAGCGGTTTAATCCACTGCGCCACAAACTGAAAATTATATATAGAAAATCGTAATATACTGATTGGAGCGCCGTACCTATTGATCTACTCACATTTGCATGTTTTCGACCTAGGTTGACAGAAGCTGGGGCTGTCAGCGGGAGCTCACTCCCGTTCCTCGGATTTGAACCTGCAACCTTTTGGTCAACAAGCTCAACAGCTCAGCAGTTTAATCCACTGCGCCACAAACTGAAAATTATATATAGAAAATCGTAATATACTGACTGGAGCGCCGTACCTATTGATCTACTCACATTTGCATGTTTTCGAACTGCTAGGTTGACAGAAGCTGGGGCTGTCAGCGGGAGCTCACCCCCGTTCCTCGGATTTGAACGTGCAATCTTTCGGTCAACAAGCTCAACAGCTCAGCGGTTTAATCCACTGCGCCACAAACTGAAAATTATATATAGAAAATCGTAATATACTGATCCAAACCAACTTAACACCAGGCCTGGGCGAACTTGGGACCTCCAGATGTTTTGGACTTCAACTCCCACAATTCATAACCAGCTGTAGAAGGAATATAGTTTGATACCTCTTTAACTGCCAACCATAAAGTTGGAAAGGCAAGAACGGCTCAAATACAAAACTCGGAAGTCCTCCAAAATGGAGTTCCCTTCCTTCCCTCTTCAATGACTCTTGTGACCCTGCAGTGGGGACTCAGGAGAGTCAACGCGCAGGCGCCGCTTGTGAGTGACGTCACAGCCTAGGCGGCTTCCCATTGGCCCGTAACGTCGAGGGGGCGGAGCCTGTGATGACGCAAGGAGGGTCAGCTGTAGAGTGACCGGATCTGGCTCATTTCTCCCTCAGAGGCCGGTTCGAGCGGACCTTTCGCGAGGGCTCCTTGCTGCTAGTGCTTTTCGGCCTTGCCTTCGCTTCCACCATGGCGCTCAGCGATGCCGACGTCCAGAAACAGGTAAAGGGAGGGGATGAAGGTGCATCTACACTGTGGAATTAACGCAGTTTGACATGACATTCATTCCTATAACTCAAGGCTGGGGAATGGTGGGAATTACAGTCTGCTAAGGCTCCAGAAGGTCTCATACAACTACAGCTCCCATTACTTCATGTCACTGAGCTGTGGCAGTTAAAGTGGAGCCAAAGTGTGTTAATTGTACTGTGTAGACGAAGCATGGGCAAACCTGGGCCTTCCAGGTGTTTTGGACTCCAACTCCCACCATTCCTAACAGCCTCAGGCCCTTTCCTTTTCCCCCTCAGCCGCTTAAGCCCAGGTTTGCCAATACTTGGTGTAGACACAACAAAAGTGGGCTTCAGCGCGTCTCTTGTTACTTTCATTGACCGATATATTACATATATGTCAAAAAAGAAGAGTAGATATGCAACAGAAAAGGTAAAATGGTGTTGTCATTGGGTTTGAACCAAGAACCCCCACTGATTGACCTTGAGGAAGTCACACTTTCTTGGCATTTTAAAATCCCTTGATAGGGTCACTTTGGGGTCACCATAAGCCAGAAACATCTTGAAGGTATATACAACAACAAATTATTATTTATTATTATTCTAGTACATTTATACCCCACCTTTCTCATCCCAATGGGGGACTCAAGGCGGCTTACAGACCACGGCATTCAACGCTGCACTACACATATAATAATAAACATGGTATATCAGTTTAACATTTATAGCCCGCCCTTCTCACCCCAATTGGGGACTCAAGGCGGCTTACAGACCATGGCATTCAATGCCGCACTACACATATAATAATAAACATGATATATCAGTTTAACATTTATAGCCCGCCCTTCTCACCCCAATGGGGGACTCAAGGCGGCTTACAGACCATGGCATTCAATGCCACACTAAACATATAATAATAAACATAATATATCCGTTTAAACAATTAGCATATCAATTTAAACATGCAATAAAAATATGACATATCGTTTGAACAATTCAAATATAAATACAATAAAAAGCTTAAAAGTAAAGATTCAATCCAAACCAAAGTGTGCTGATGACATATCAATTAAGCAATAATTACTCAATTCAATATGGACAATTTCAACAGAAAGGAAGAAACCATGAAAATGAATAAAATCTGGCTACCATTATTAAAAAACTCAAAATTTCAACAGCAAAACAACAGAGTAAACAATCAGGCACATCAAATCACCTCTCAAAGAAAGATTCCCCCAGGCACTTCCAAGCCATTAAATGCTAATCAAGGTGGTCAGTTGAAACATTCACGCCTAGCTCCAGCAGACAAAAGTCCTTTGTCCCACCCTGGTCTTTCCACAGATATATAAACCCATTTTCCTACTTCCAACATATAGCCCGCCCTTCTCACCCCAATTGTGGACTTAAGGCAGCTTACAGACCATGGCATTCAATGCCGCACTACACGTATAATAATAAACATGATATATCAGTTTAAACAATTAGCATATCAATGTAAACATACAATAAAAATATGACATATCATGTGAACAATTCAAATGTAAATACAATAAAAAGCTTAAAAGTAAAGATTCAACCCAAACCAAAGTGTGCTGATGACGTATCAATTAAGCAATAACTACACAATTCAATGTGGACAATTTCAACAGAAAGGAAGAAACCATGAAAATGAACAAAATCTGGCTACCAGTATTTAAAAACTCAAAATTACAACAGCAAAACAACAGAGAGTAAACAATCAGGCACATCAAATCACCTCTCAAAGAAAGGTTCCCCCAGGCACTTCCAAGCCATTAAATGCTAATCAAGGTGGTAAGTTGAAACATCCACGCCTAGCTCCAGCAGACAAAAGTCCTTTGTCCCACCCTGGTCTTTCCACAGATATATAAACCCATTTTCCTACTTCCAACAGACCTCACTACCTCTGAGGATGCTTGCCATAGATGCAGGCGAAACGTCAGGAGAAAATGCCTCTAGAACATGGCCATATAGCCCAGAAAACCTACAACAACCCAAAACACAATTTATTTATTTATATCCTCCTTTTCTCCCCCATCAGGGATCCAAAGTGGCTGGTAACAAGGTATAAAACATACAGGTACATTAGGACGAAAAGGAAATTGACATAGTCAATAATAACAATTAAAATATAATAAGACAACTAAGCCATAATAAAACACAAAGCAACATAATTAAGTAGAGTGAATTTTTACAATGAGGAAAAGTCTTCATCGAATCCAAATAAGGTTAATATTTAGGATAAAGTAAAAATAAAAGTTCCCCTTGACATTAAGTCTAGCCATGTCCGACTCCGGGGGTTGGTGCTCATCTCTATTTCTAAGTCAAAGAGCTGGCATTGTCCATAGACACCTCCATGGTCATGTGGCCAGCATGACTGCATGGAGCACTGTTACCTTCCCGTTGGAGTGGTATATATTTATGTACTCACATTTGCATGTTTTCAAACTGCTAGGTTGGCAGAAGCTGGGACTAACAGCGAGAACTCACCCCACTCCCTGGATTTGAACCACTGACCTTTCAATCAGCTCAGCAGTTTAACCCACTGCGCCGCTGGGGACTCAAATATTTAGGATATGTTCTTCTAAATTAGGAATGGAAATGAGTGGGCCAAGTACCAAAATTCCTGGTGGGAAAAGTGCAGAACAGTGACCATGTTTGGAAATAAAGTCCCACAGATGTATTGAGGTTTGTTCCCAGGAAGGTGTGCCAAAGATGGCGAATAATGCTTGTTTATGCTTGAATCGGGTTCTACCTTTCTGGTATCATTTGGAGATGGGGGAAATGGCAGTGCTAAGGTCTTTGCATTTTTGCATTTAATGTTAACCTGTGTCAATACCATCCACATCCATCTGCAGATGTTTTTTAAAAGCAGGGAAATAACAGCACAGTGTTAAAGGGTAACAGTCACAACCCTAGTGACCTTTCCAGTATATGTCCTTGGAATGAAGGGTTTGTGTTTGCTAAGAAAATGACTAACTACATGTCTGGAACAAGAGTGGAAAATGCATTTGTTCACAAAACCTTTCTGGCTTGAACAGTTGTGTTGGTTAATCAAGAATAATAATTCCCACCTTCTCCTTCCATACTCATGATACTGAGCATGAACTTTTATTCCCAATGTTATCTGAAGAACTTGATTACAGGAACAATTGAAATAAATGAGGATTTCTCTTAGGCTGGAAGATGTAAGTTGGAATATTGTAAACAAAGTTACTTCTAGAAACAGGTTTTCGGGTCCACATGCCTTTTTGGTGGAGAAATGGGATGTAGATAAATCTAGGATAAAAGAGATCTCTATGCAGTTGGAGACAAGGGTGAACGACAATTTCTCTATTAATGGCTTCCAGTTTGCTATCGAAACCAATTCAAAGTGCTGGCTTTAGTCAATAGAGCCCTAAATGGTTCTGACCCAGGCTACCTGTCCAAACGTATCATCCTCTACGAACCAGTACATAAACTAAGATATTCTGGGGAGGTCCTGCCAGCCTCACAAGTGCAGCTGGCTGGGATGAGAGACGGGGCCTTCTCAGTGGTAGCCCCTTAGTTGTGGAACTCCCGCCCTAGCAATATCAGAGCAGACCCTTCTCTATTAGCCTTTAGGAAAACAGTCAAAACCTGGCTCTTTGAGCAGGCCTTTGGAAACTAAGGAAATGCAATATTTCTTGAATTGAAACCTTGTGCAATTGACCTTATAACGGACTCAGACCATGAACTTGGATGGCATGATCCCTATAAGATGCTTGGAGTACTCCAGCTATGATAAGGCTAAAGTTGTCCTGGACATTGATGGGCTCTATTTGTTATTCTGTAGCTCTAAATTAGATAAATGAAATCTTCTGAACACAAAAAGTATAATAGTTTGAGTGAAATGAAGAAAACATATGAATTTTTCTATTTTTAGTTTCTGTTTCAGGGCTTCACACCCATCAGTAAAATGTCTCATTTCAACATAAAATGGCTTATTCTGAAAGATAATTTAAGAATTATCTTTTGTAGAACAATGTTCAATCTTCAGTATATGAAAGTAGGCACAGCGAAAATAGACCTTGCAACTTTAGGTCTCAAAGTTTGGAAGACAAAAGCAGTTATTGTAGGAAAGAATGAGGGTAGTTGCAAATAATGAAAAAGAAGAACTGTGAAAGCCTATGATTAATGCTCATGTTAATTCTGAAAATAGGAAGTGCTACATCGAGAAACTGAGTGTTATAAAGAGGAGGGAGAAGTAAATTGGGTTGTATTTTGAAATTTTGGAACTTCTACCTCTTTTAGTAAGCCATTATTACCTCCTCCTACTGATAGTGTTGTCATTGTAATTCATTTCCTGATGAGAAATAATAAGAAGAAAGTTACATTTATTCAAGAAACGACAACATAGTTAGGTATAGAGGAAAGTACAGTATCAAGATAATAAATCTTTTCCTTTTGAATATGAGTTAACTTGAAAAGTAATGTCTTAAAACCATTACTTATAACCAGACATTTCCATTGTGGATTTTAGGATAACACTCATTAGTTTCAGGACTTCTGCAAGGAAAGGAGATTTTGGGGTTTTTCTCTCTCCCTGATAAATGAAATAACTTTTCCAACCATTTTAGATAACAGTAATTCTCTTGAAGGGGTTGTGGAATTTTACAAACTATAATGTGTGCATGATTTCGTTGTCCTACACTTGTCCTGTTGACTGTAAATAGTGTTCTTGTTGGTAAAACCACCCTGAGCTGGGTTGGGGATGGAGTATTATGCTGAGTACTGCATTGATCCAGATGACACTGGTGCAGGAAGGCCACCTTAGAGTTCATGAGCCGGGCGCTTGTTTTACTTGGACCTAGTCACTGTTGGTTAAACACCTCCTTCCACACAAGTTTCAGCCGCATGTATCCTTACTGTCAGTGGGCATTGTAATTGAAACAAGCATGAAGGAAATCCTGAAGCAGTTCCATCAGGACAGACTGTTCAAGCTATCTGTATGTCAACAGGCAGCAGCTTGGGAAGCTGGTATTACTTTCTACCTCATCCATGGGTGAGGAGATTACAATTTGACAACTATTCTCTTACCCAAAAAATAAAATCAGGGGAAATATTCAGAATGCCTCCTATGCCCTCTTGGAGTCAATTTTGCCATGTAGCTCAAGAGGAACCCTTTTTAAATACAGGAAGTAAACCGAAAGTCATTTCTGGTTCACTTGCTGCTTTTAAAGGGCCTTTTCTGGGTCAAAACAGCTTGGGACAGGCAAAAATTTGTTTATTTGTTTATATTTATTTACAGCATTTCTACCCTGCCTTTCTCTACCTTGGAGAGGACTCAAGGCGGCTTACATGTAGGCAACCATACGAAGCCATAGGATATGTACAATAGAGTTATAAAATACATTAAAACAGTTTAAAAACATATAAAACAACACATTAGCAGTTATTCACATGATCCTTAAACGTAATCCGGCCGTTCCAGTTAGTCAGTGCACATCAATTCCTTATCGTCCATTTTTCAAGTTCTCCAAAATCTTGATCACAAAGCCAGGTTTTTACTTTTCTATGGAATGTCAGAAGGGAGAGGGCTGATCTGACGTCCCTGGGGAGGGAATTCAACAGCCGGGGGGCCACCACTGAGAAGGCCCTGTCTCTCGTCCCTGCCAATTGTGCCTGCGAGGAACGTGGGACCAAGAGCAGAGCAACCCCAGATGATCTTAGACTCTGAGATGGTTCATAGGAGGAGATACATTCAGACAGGTAAACTGGGCCAGAACCGTTCAGCACTTTATAGACTAAAGCCAGCACTTTGCATTGTGCTTGGTAGCAGACTGGCAGTGACGATAGAATTGCCCTCTTGTTCCCTAGAGCATGCAAAGGGGCATTTTGAGTGTTTTTAAAGTAATCATAAATACAAGTGAGAAGTCTGACTGCGAGCCTTTCAGGATTGAGCCATGGTCCTTTTCCTATCTTGAAAAAAGTATTATGTATTAGTGTGACTGTGGAAGCAGAGCATATTTGGTAGAAATGTGCCCAAGTTTTCTTCATTTTCTGTGTGTGACTTTTTTTGTGTGTCAGGAGCAACTTGAGAAACTGCAAGTTGTTTCTGGTGTGAGAGAATTGGCTTTCTGCAAGGACATTGCCCAGGGGACACCTGGATGTTTTTGATGTTTTATCATTCTTGTGAGAGGCTTCTTTTATGTCCCCATAATAGGGAGCTGGAGCTGATAGAGGAAGCTCATCTGCACTCTCCCCAGATTCGAACCCTCGACCTATCAGTCTCCAGTCCTGCTAGCGCAAGGGTTTAACCCATTACGCCACTGGGGGCTCCTGTGTGTGACATGACACACTGAGATGCAGTTGGATCCAATGAGGGCCCTTCCACACAGCCATGTAACCCAGAATATCAAGGCATAAAATCCCACAATATCTGCTTTGAATTGGGTTATCTGAGTCCTCACTGCCATATATTCCAGTTCAAGGAGAAAATGTAGGATTTTATTCAGCTGTGTGGAAGGGGCCTTAGTCATACTTCAAATAGCCCTAGTAAAACAATAATAACAAAGGATGTTTTAATTTGCAATTGACATGTATCTGACTTCACTGTCTTGATAATAAAAGGAATCACTCAGGACGTGGAAAGGTCTGTGGTGATCAAAAACAAAGATGCTTTTGCTGGCTTACCTGGAAAAATATCTCCTTTCTGTTACAGATCAAGCACATGATGGCTTTCATAGAACAGGAAGCCAATGAAAAGGCAGAAGAAATAGATGCTAAGGTAAGTGAAAGCAATTCTCACACATGACTTCTCCTGCTTCAAATATCTGTCAACATATTTGTGCCAAACTTAAGTGAATGACTGTATTGGATCTCATTCAATGTCTGAAATTTTGTTTTTAGGCAATAGATAGATAGATAGTTCACTAAGTGTATCTTTTGAGAAGAAGGCGGTGGGTTAAGATATGTGCTTAATTGGAAGATGCATCCTCCTGGATTTAAATGTTTCCAAACAGCATGAAAGTGCTTGATATTTCTCTTACTAATTGCTTTTGAACACATGGGTGCTGATCACTCCTGATTTGAGACATCTGATAAATGTAGGATAAAGAATTTGATACTAGAACTGAATCTACCAGCAAAGATGTTAATTTGGTTAGGACATCCATTGAATTGGAGCATATTTTGTATACTTTTCTCTTTTTGTATAACTCAAAAAGCCCTCAGTTTAAACTGGGTAGGTCCAGTCACTTTGCTAAATCTGCATTTATTCTAAGCCCTTCATTTATTGTCTTTCTTTATAGGCGGAAGAAGAATTCAACATTGAGAAAGGTCGTTTGGTCCAAACGCAGAGACTGAAAATCATGGAGTACTATGAGAAGAAAGAGAAACAAATTGAACAGCAGAAGAAAATGTATGTAATGCAGAAACAATCAACCTGGTTCTAAGTTGTGGTGGGAAAAATTAATGTGCTAGTTCTAATATTTTAGAAATATTTGTCTGAAAAATTATAAAACTTGGTCAAGCCAACAGCATAAAAATTTTGGACACATTCTTGGTAATGAAATGGAAAATATATCCCCCATCCAAAAAATCCCTCAGGCCTGGCACCAGGAACACACTTGACATAGCATGTGATCTGGAAAATAGGCATCTCCAGTGTGAATGATTACTCAGTTGCTTTTTCTCTGAACTGAATGTTATCTTTACTAAGATAAGTATTTCAGCCCGGGTGAGAGCTAGGTCAGCCCCTTGTTAGAAATTGCTAGGTCTTATTTTTTTTGTAACCATTACAAATATATAATGCAGGTTGGCAAAATGGTTGACTAAAAATGACAATAAAAAACTGTCTCCTACAAAAATTACTTTTCTCTACTTGGTGGATTAGATAGTTTCCTAGCAATAAAACTGAAGCAAAGAACTTAGGCTCACTGCAGAAAAGTGGGCCCCAGTTCACGCTTGGAAAAGTTAATTGTTTTGATGACAACTTCCAGAATCCCAAAATCAACATGGAAAAGCATTCCGATTGTTGTCTTTCAAAGTAATACTTTCCAAGCTACAGGACTACTTAAGTTGAAAGGTTTTGTTTGCATCATGTTGGGCGAGCCAGTGGGAATTGCATAACTTATGTCTGCTGTTTTCACAATCTCAAGCCCGTTGCACTCAGTTTTCTTGTTTTTCTCCATTTAACTTGCAGTCAGATGTCCAACCTGATGAATCAGGCAAGACTGAAGGTCCTCAAAGCCAGGGATGATCTGATTGCAGTGAGTATCTGCCTGTCTTTATAACAAAAGAGCAAGTGTAATCACTATTTATCTGATTCATTCCAGAAAAAAAAATAATTTCAGTTTTCATTCCCATATGCTTCTTCCATATGTAAAGGTTTCCCCTTGACATTAAGTCTAGTCGTGTCCGACTCTGGGGGGTTGGTGCTCATCTCAGCTTAAGCGGCTGAGGGGGGGGGGGGGGGGGAAGGGCCTGAAGCTGTTAGGAATTGTGGGAGATGAAGTCCAAAACACCTGGATGACCAAAGTTTGCTCATGCCTGGGATAGATAATTGCAGTTACAGTCTAATTGGAGATAGAGGTAATTGGAGTTGCTGTATTTGGAGGGACACACGTTCTCCATCTGTGATCCTTTGTGAGAGGTTCTTATCAGATGGCAACTGACTTTGTCTTAAACAGTGTACATTGTGGCATCATCACAGGCAAGGATCCATATGATTGAATGTCTTCCATATGAAACAATTTGTGTTACTGTGTCTGGTAGAAGTGTAAACACAGCTTTGGTCTCTATTGCCTGAATTGGTGCATCCCAGACACAAAGTAATACTGCCTCAGCGAGGATTAGACCTAAATCTCCATGCTCCAAGATGGCCTTATAATCTGTTCAGCACAACAAAATTATTGCTAAAGGATATTGAAACAGGTACTGAAAAGAATAATTTGGGTGCTGGTTGGTGAAAGGAGCTTTTAAGAATCTGAATTCCTGTGTCAGACGTAGCATTCTGAATTATAATAGGCACAACTCAAAGCTGAGTTCGTGTTTATTTACAAGTCACACAGCATTCAACAGTTTCCTGTTCTCTTTTTGATTGCTGCCCAAGGCTTGAATCCTTTCTTGTCTTGACTGGGATATTGCCATTGAATTATTTGGACTTACCTGTGTTAAGGAGTCATTCAGTGAGTCTGCTCTAATTGATTCTACATCAGGCATGGGCCAGCTTTGGGCCTCCAGGTGTTTTGGACTTCAACTCCCTCAATTCCTGACAGCCTAAGTTTGCCCGTGCCTGTTCTACAGGCTCACTCCAGTTAGGACTAGCCAACAGGATTTCAGTCTGTTTTTACAAAATTGTGTGCCAGCAAATAGGGCATCTGGAAAGGTGGCTGCTTGTATTCAGAAGACTGGATGGGGTATCGGCTGCTACTGAGCATTTTCAGATGTGGCCCGTGAATTGGGAGCAATGGCTGTAACCAGAAGACGGGGTTCTGTGGGCTGCAATTACACAAGGTTTTGTGTTTTTCTCACTTGATCTTTCTTTTGCTGTAGGATTTACTGAGTGAAGCTAAGCAGAGACTGACGAAAGTAGTAAAGGATTCTGGCAGGTATCAAACTCTGCTGGATGGTTTGATTCTACAGGTAAACACAACTAATTTTTCCCACTAATTCTGTAAAAATAATTTGAATGTTTACTGTGTTCTTTTTGGCATTGATAAAGATCACCTGAATTTATATTACCAACCTTCTGCCATGTTTCTAAGGATATTTCCTAGCTTCGGTATTCTATTTTTCTGTTTCTAAACTCAAGATAGCAGTAATATATAATTTACCAAATGGGAACCTATATGTTATATAAAAAGATCAAGAGTTAGTATCGATTGGACAACTCAGTCATAGTGTCTCTGAATCCTTTTGTCCATTAAGATCAGTAGAGAATGTTCCTGTATTCTGAAGGCCATGCTCGCCATTAACCAAAGCAAAGTTTTTGCAGATTAGGCAACCAGTGCTCAAGGCCCGTAGCTTCCTAGGCTATTAAACAAAGAAATCAACACCATCCCATTGTCTTGTACTTCTTCAACAAGAGGTGTTAAACAAGCTTCAGCCCTTCAGGTGTTTTTGACTTCAACTCCCACAATTCGCTGTTAGGAATTGTGGGAATTGAAGTCCAAAACACCTGGAGGGCTGAAGTTTGCCCATGCCTGTGTTAAACCATCCTCATCAGGGTGCTTGAGTTTCTACTGTCTTAATTAACCTGCTTTATTTTAGTGTACTTCCCCAGCACAGTGCAGGTATATCTCTCCTACTGAGCTGTAATGTTGTCAGACACATTAATTAGTTTAATGCATGTAATGGAATTGTACTCTTTAAATCTGAAAACCACAAAAAAGCTCACAAGAGGTTTCCTTTGTTTTATTAAAGGGGTTTTATCAATTACTTGAGCCTAAAATGACGGTTCGTTGTCGAAAGCAGGATCTTCCTTTGGTTAGGGTAAGTCTTCTGTAGTGAAAACCGATGGCTAACCTGGCAATAGGCCAGATCTTTAGGAAAACACTACATTGATATTTCTGTATTTAGTTAAAAAACAAATCAAAAGTTGGTATTGTGGACCCTCTCTATGTGTTTAGCTTGAATAGGGTCCCAATCAAAACCACTGCATACTATTACCTGCACACCATAAATCCTAAAGTTAGTCCTACACCCAACATATGCCTAAATAGCATGTGAAGAATGGCCTTTAAGCTGCCTTTGTTTCTTTTAACTGGAAAAAGACACTGCTTCCAGGCAAGAGGCACACTGCACTTCGAATGTAGAGCCATAAGATTTTTTTGGTTTTTTGCTAAACTGAGCGTCCAGGATTCCTATCTTCACTGCCTTCTGAGAGGCTAATGCAGCGTTTCTCAACCTTGGGATTGCAAGGGGGTTTCAGAGGGGTCTTCAAAGACCATCAGAAAACATATTTGTGATGATTTTAGAAACCCCTTTGGCAGAGAAGGCTGAAGATCTCTTTGCCTGTCCTTCTCTTTTTTGGAAACAGATGGCAAATCCTCCCACCAAAAGCCCTCCTCTGCTGTGATTAGCTGGCCTCTCAGCCAAGGGAAGGGTTTTTTTTTTTCTGAGATTCCAAGGGGGAGGGGAGAGCAGGCATGCTTGGTGCATGGTGCACATGTGCAGGTGAGGGAAAGCGTGTGAGGTTGGAGGGAGGTTTGCACCAGCGAGTCCATTCAAGGCAGGGTAGTTCTGTGTAGGAAGTTTGGCCCAGTTCTGTTGTTGGCGGGATTCAGAATTCTGTTTGATTGTAGATGAACTGCACCAGCAACTATAGCTCCCAAATGTTATGGTCTGTTTTCCCCAAACTCCACCAGTGCTCACATTTAGGCATATTGAGTATTCGTGCCAAGTTTGGTCCAGATCCATAATTGTTTGAGTCCACAGTGCTCTCTGGATGTAGGTGAACTACAACTCCAAAACTCAAGGTCAATGCCCCCCAAACCATCCCAGTATTTTCTGTTGGTCATGGTGTGCCAAGTTTAATACAATTCCAAGCAACTACAAACCCAAAATTACAAAATCAATCCCCCCAACCCCACCAGCATTTGTTCCAAATTTGTTCCAATGAATGGAAATACATCCTTCATATCAGATATTCACAATACAATCCATAACAGTAGCAAAATTACAATTATGAAGTAGCAACCAAAATAATTTTATGGTTGTGGGTCACCACAACATGAGGAATTGTATTAAGGGGGCCAGCATTAGGAAGGTTGAGAAACACTTGGCTAATGGATTGGTAGTACAATTTGGGATCTGGAGTGAAAGCTTCTTTCATGCATAAATGTCTCTGTCTTGTTTCAGAATGCTATCCAGAAGAGCATCCCAATTTATAAAGCTGCCACCAAGAAAGAAATTGATGTTCAAATTGATCAGGACACATTTCTCCCCGAGGACATGTAAGATAAATGCAAACCTGGGGAAAGAGGGCTGTGAAACTATATAATATGCTAATGGATGATTGGTTCAGCTAGAACATGCTCAAAATAATTATGATTCAGTGGTTTGTCAACATCTAGTATAATTAACAGTACTGTCCACATCCATTTCGAAAACAGAATGGCATTTCACCATCTAGTTACATCTCCTGTGCTGATACACATGATTCTGAGGTGCTATTTTTACCCACAATAACTGAACCCTACCTTGGCCACTGGCCTCTGAGGACAAGCCAGTAGTCCAAATAGAAAAGAATATGTGGGGTGGGAGGAATGCACATAATAATCCCTCTGGATATGTTGCCCTAATACTGGAAATAGTGTATTTGATAAAATGGTGACATTTTCCTTAAAATGTCACCTAAATGTGTCTAAATAAAAAGCCAATTATTAAAAGCTTTAAAGCACTTTCTAAATAGCCACATGATACAAAAATCAGTGGCTTTCGGGTAATACATTAAGATCTACTAGAAACTGTAAAAAGCATTACTTCCAGGTCAAGGACTAAAACTATTTAATAATCCCAACCTATGTGGCTCAGATACCCCTGAACTTTATGGGGCCTCTTTCTGACCAATGTGATCTCATATGAACCTGTGCGCATTCTAGAATTCCTCATACATTCTGATTAAGCTCTATAAAATGACCAGGAATACAGGCTCTATTCTGTATTGTGAGATAACCCATCATTTCCCCAAAAGTAAAATATCTACCAAAATGTAATGATCATATAATGAATATTTGCTTTATTTCAATGGGCAATGTATACAAAACACTAAATAGATCTTGAAAAAGTTACCCTTATAGATTTCAGCTCCCCATAATCTCCCAGAACGCTTTGAAGGATATGGACTAGGGATGTACTTGTACTAAGATATTTAGAAAAGGATCTTCGAGGGTTTTTTAGTTCTTTGAAAATATATTTATTTTGGTTCTGCACCAAGTAAAAGTCTTATAACAAATAGATGCAGTGAGTGGCACTTACTCAGTCCTCTGGAACACCCCTTCAAATACCGTATTTACTCAAATCTAATACTCTCCTTTTTCGGCTAAATTACCTTCCCAAAACCGGGGTGTGCATTAGATTCATGTAATATAGTAATCTTAATGCTGAGCCCCAAAGCAAAAGGGGAAGCTGCTTCAGGAGCTGCACCTGGAGCTTCTGTCTGAGAGACGTCATCTCTAATTTAATTGCCATGGCTCAATGCTTTGGAGTCATGGGATTTGTTCTTTGGCAGCCCCCATGATCCCAAAGTACAGATGTCATGACCCCATAGCATTGAGCCAGAGTAGTTGAAGTGGATTCATTCCACAGCATAGATGCACCCCAAGGCTCTTCCATTGCTTCAAACTTTAGTGTTTTAAAGAAGGAAATCTAAGCATGCAACAGTTGTAATGCATACCCTTTGGGGCACTTTTTGCTTTTGCGTATCACATTCACCAGCAAATACTTTTTTTTGTTTCAGTGTTTTGAAAATTGAGGTGTGCATTAGATTTGATGGCGCATTAGACTTGAGTAAATACGGATAACTGTTCTTCGAATTGTTTTGACTGTCAAGACATTGACTATTATATTTGTCTTTTCCCAGTGCTGGAGGTGTTGAAATCTATAACAGTGATGGCAAAATTAAAGTTTCCAATACTCTGGAAAGCCGTCTGGATCTGATGGCCCAGCAGGTGAGCCTGGCAAAGTCTCCACATCTTCTCTTCCCTGTGTAATTAATCTTCTCCGACCCTAACACACTTCATTAGGAATGGCATTAGGCCCAATCTATCAGGCCTAGATCTGTATGTAGTCCCTCTGGGCAACTGCTGGGATCACAGAACTCTTTTGCATCCCTCCCCAACCAGGAACCCAGTCTGCATGATGGGAGGCTGCATTAAGGGAGCTACCGTTTTAATTACCGCAGTGCTGCATTTTAGTATTGCTCATTAGAGAAAACCTATATGGTAAAACTACTAACAGCAAGTAAGACCCATGGCACCAGAAGAGACATACCAAAGAGTACTTTAGCAAGTACTACCTCCACAGCTTTTGTATTTGTATATCCAAAACTTAAATAGTTCTGTTGAGTGGAAGACAGATCATAATGAAGTGTTTTTCTGTACTCTACTTCCAAATCACCTATTGTATTTGTAAATAGCCTCATTTTACAAAAATATATATCTGTTGTTAGGGCTATAGCTTAGACAATGAATTAAAATCCCCAAACCCATGTACCAAAACAAGAACATAAATAATGCATTTTCAGAATTAGTTGATCTAGGGTCAAAGTGCATCTGAGATTGAAAGGCTAACAGGTGGAAAGAAAGCCTGGTGCCTTACTCTCCACTATGTAACATGGATTTGTATACATTCTTATTGCAAGAATTATGAATTTGAAGTGGGCGAATATATGGTTTGGGTTGTTGTAATGCTACATATAATATACTACTGGAAGTCATAGTTTCTGAAATATAAGTATACAGCTGGAGCATATAGATCAGGAATGGACTATATTGGGATGAGGATCCCATATCCATTTTTGTGGCTACTGGGCCCTTCCCCTGCTGGAGAATTGCTGTCTCTGGAGACTTCCAAGAGCTGAAAAAAATCTTTTTGGCCCCTAAAAAAAGAAGTAAATTACCAAATCCTGTGTTTAGAAATTGCTTTTTATTTTTGAAAGGGCTGATGCCTATGCTGGGCCCAGGGAGTGATGGTAGCCATCATACCTGTTGTAGATAATGCTTATAATGATTGTGGCAAAGCAAGAGTTTATGTACTTTTTCAGTGCTGCATATGGAAGCTCGATCTTTTAAGAGGTACTCTTATTACAATCCTATCTCAAGTATTACTCAGTGCTGATAGGGAAAGATATGTCACAGGACAAGCTGCCATCTTGAGTATTTCACAGCTCATATAGCACATTTGTCAGCTGTTTGGCTTGGTCAATACAAATTGACTTTTAGTGCAAGGTTGATGCGTATTTCTGTTCTTCTGTGCCTTCATCAAGGCATTTTCAAGCCCTGTCTTTCTCTCTCTCAACAGATGATGCCAGAGGTCCGAACGGCACTTTTTGGTGCCAACAGCAACCGGAAATTCTCAGACTAAATTCCTTGATGGTGGAGCCTCTTCCATTGCCATAGTGAAGTGAGATGCATAGCACCTCAGTGAAAAAAAAACTTGCAATATATCCAGGTCTATATTGTGCTGTCCTGTACATTTTATTCAATTAAGTTATTTTGGGGCATCCCTGCTGTGCTTAGCCTGACTGGGAGACCCCTGTCCACAGGGAGATGGTTTAGGATTTGAAAAGCGGGGACATTCATTCGAGTTCCTTGGGGAGCAGCGACTTCGCCCACTTCTCTCAAAGCATGTCGCCAATTTGTGCTGCTTAACGTCTTTGTTTCCTTGCAAAAGCATACATTTCTCTTGAGGGACAGACAATGTAACCCTCATGTGACTGTGGCCAGTCCCAGGTTTTTGTTCTGTATATGTGGTTAAACTGCTGTCTGTGCACATTGCAGGCACACTCTCCAATCCTGTATTAGTTTAATAAAAGGTGTGTGAAACTGTTTGCTACAGTATCTGGAAAAAAGAGTCTGTGTGGTTTGTCACATAAACACATGAACTGCAGTTCAGATCAGCGACTGCTATAAGTAGAGTTTTACTTCAGAGTGTGAACAAAAAGGTGGGAATAGTACCCTTTTCTGGGGAGCAACAGTGATATTATAATAAAGTTAAAACTGTCAAGCACACTGTAGGAGGCATAAATTACAAATTGCTATAAAAGTTTTATTTGTAGAGATATGTGACACACCAGTTTACAGAAGAACAAGGAGAACAGAAGGCCTATCATGCATTAAAGTGTGAACTGGAAATTACAACTACAGTTAGCCCTCCACATTAGCTGGGGTTAAGACCTCTGGACCCTTGCTAATCTGGAGAAATTGTCAATTTACTTTAAAAATGTGGGTGTTTTTTTTTGTCCCTGAGAGTATACCTCTAGCTTCTCCAGCATGAATCTTTGCCCAACTTCTGCTAGAAGTTGATCACAGAACACCTCTAGGTGAGGTGTTCAAGGAAGAGTTAACCAAAGAGTCACAGAGAGGACATTTTCATCAAAGTTGATAAAGAAGTCCCAAAGACTCCATAAGTTCTAACAAATGCATAATAGAAACATAAAGTTAAAAAATTATAGTCTACAATTTCTCTGTACATTATGAGTACACATTACATATACACGAGGGTTCCTCCTTTCTTTTGTTCAAGGGTATTAATCTGATAAAGCTCTTTTGCTAGGTTCTTATATTAAAAGGATATGGGGACTGGTGAAGGGTAGGACCTTCGTGGGCCAATTCCAAGCTCCCCCTTAGAACTAGAATCCTTGTTAGAATTTACTTTCAATTTCTTCTGGATTATCTTGTAAGCATGGGGCTAGGCATTTTAAGGAAAATATGCAAGTTCAATAAGCAAAATATGTACCTTTTCATTAAAACTATGTCATCCTCACCTTTATAAAGAAGGTGAGGATGACATATTCCCTTGACTTGAGCGGATTGCATAGGAAGTGGAGTTTCTTGAAGGTAATCTTCCTGGACAGAAGCAGCCTGGACGGTGGTTTGTTGCCTCAGCTGTTCAAGGAGAAATCTTTTGCTCTTCCATCAATCGGTTCTGTTGAACATGGGCAGTCTCAATGGAAGAGGCACTGCATTTGGAGATGATGCTATTTGAAAAAATCCATGACGTATTCTCCAATGCCAATGAAATAGACCCCTTGGGCTATGCCAAACAAGGGAGCTATGACCAGTGCGCGACATGTTGCCCCTTTCATGAAAGCAGCAGGACCCTCATGAATCCATATTTTCCTGCAGATAAGAAACACACATTGGGTTACGTAAACATATGCTAACTTTTTCTAGGGAAGGAAACAAACATTTTCACAAGCTTGGTTTATAAGAAGCTGCTTAGGAGTTTGTTTGGTTGCATGCAGCAATGAACGGATCAAGTCATTGACATCTCCGGCCCATCGTCAGCCAGTAAGTCAATGCCTTAAATCAAGAAATAGCTTCCTAAGATCTACAGAGATACTCGCAGGAACATCCCAGCAAGCAAGAGTCCAAAAATGGCAGGCTAAAACCTGGAACCTCAATCAGTAGCTGAGACAGGATGAGAAACTCCTTCCTGGGCACACAGAAGACGGGGCGACCTGGAAGGTGCTGAACTGGCTGCACTCTGGCACCACAAGGTGCAGAGCCAATCTTAAGAAATGGGGCTATAAAGTGGAGTCCGCAACATGTGGTGTGGAGAACAGCAAACCACAGACCACTTACTACAATGCAGCCTGAGCCCTGCCACATGCACAATGGAGGACTTTTTTTACAGTGACATCAGAGGCACTCCAAGTGGCCAGATTCTGGTCAAAGTTTTAAACTTTGTTTGTTGTTTCTTATGCTTTATAACTGTGTTCTCAATTCACTTCTGACATGATAAATATATCCCTGGGAATTTAATTCTATATCTGAAGGGATATCACAAATTTCACTTCCAACATGATAAATATATCCCTGTGAGTTTAATTCTATGTCTGAAGGGATATTAAAAATTTATCTTCAATAAGACAAGAGTCCCTGTAACAAAATTTTGGTCTACAAAAGAGGGAAGTATCTTCATGGGACATTAATGTCCTGTCAGGAAAATGTGTGTGACACTAAAGAGAAAAGAACTTGGCAAACAGGAGGAAATGTTTGAATTTTTGGAAGAGACCGCTTTTTTTTTTTTTACATGTCTGCTTCATGGAGCAAACTTCACTTATCAAGAGTAGCAACACAGATACTCCAGAGACAATGCAAAATGCAGGCAAGGTCTTGGGAAGCTGAAGAGGTGGATTTTATATATAAAACACAAACTTTCAGATGCTTTGTCTATTCTTTATTGTTAGCTGAAGTGTAGTCATTTCAGCCTTTCTAATCATATGTTATGGAGCAACTTGCTCTATTATTAGCAATTTCCTCCTAGAAAGAAATTAAGGAGAAATATATGCTGTACAGAAGAAATTAAGTCTATATCTCTGTATTGTAGTGAACAAAGCTCCCATTCACGTTTCCAGGCATTCCATTCTTTTCTTAGCAATGGGCATAACGGCATTTAGTATCTCATTCAGTTCTCATTGGATTGCACCTCACAATACTTTTGATTCTTGGACAAATGTGTTTTACTGATAACCACATTTTAGGAAGGGATGTTTTGGTTTTACCTACATTTAAAAAATACGCATTCAGAGAATTATCATGGTGGCAACGGTCACTGTTACAGCAAACTTCTAAAGAAAGATGACTCAAAGCCATGTGATGAAATGGGTTGAGGACAGTTTGTCAACACAATCATGCTTACCTGGCACAATCAATGATCCCATTGTATGTGTCCTCTCCCAGCCCTTTCTTGAGAGTTTGAATGCGTGTTTTCAGAACTAAAATTAAAATAATTTATTCATTAAAGTCTATGCAACATTACATGGAATTTGTTCTCAGTAACAAGTTATAACACTGAAAATTAGATATTGGTTATTTGCCTCTGGGCATGAATGCGCAAAGTATATTCTAGTGTTACCAGAATGCAATAGTAGTCTTACTTCCCACTAGTGCTTATCATTAATGATGATTAAAGCAAAACCTCTGTTGGCCAACCAAAATGCAGAAAATGCACCATGCAACATTTTGAAGCTCCATTGGTTTCTTCAGGGAAAATACATTAAAATTATGCAGGAAAATAAATGTGATGTTGCTAAAAGTTGCAGGCTTACATGTTGTATTAGACCAGGGGTTCTCAAACTTTTTTTTAACAGAGGGCCAGGTCACAGTTCCTGTTGGAGGACCGGATTATAATTCGGAAAAAAAAAAATAATTCCACTGCACATATCATATTTGTAGTGCAAAAAACACTTTAAAACAATACAATAATTAAGATGAAGAACAATTTTAACAAATATAAACTTATTAGTATTTAAATGGAAAGTGTAGGCCTGCTTTTGGCTGATGAGATAGGATTGTTGTTGTTGTTGTTGTGTGCTTTCAAGTCGTTTCAGACTTAAGTTGACCCTGAGCGAGGGCTGGGTAAATGACCTTGGAGGGCCACATCCGGCCCCCGGGCCATAGTTTGAGGACCCCTGTATTAGACGGTGTTTTTATTGCAATTCAATTATTTTGGAGGGATGTGGTCCCAGCCTATTCTGAGATCTCTTCAGTTACAACATTTGATACAAAGTGTTGGTCTAAACACCATTAGTTCAATGAGTCTATTTTAGCTGAGACTCAGAATTAGACTTCTATGACCCATATGAGGAAATGCAATTTACAAAGCAGCCTGCAAAAAGTTTAATGGAACTTGGGTTGATAGTGAAAAAAACCTAAATTTAAAGTGGTATTGTGGTTGGACAATAAAAAAACAATAACAAAAAAAATACTTTCAAAATAGCACCATGGATTGCCTACCATCCAGTGGGGTCACTGCCACAGCAGCCACAGATCCTGCCACACAGCCAGAGACGAATGAGTGCAAGAAAGATGCTTTTTCTTCCAGGTTCTTCTGTCCCAACTTGTTGATATTGGCAAAGAGTGGGAAATATATCATAGAAAAGGGCACATCCCTGTTGAAAGGCGAAGTGGGACAATGTAGGTAAGAAAAACACTTGGCTGAATCCTTATTGAAGAACCCTTCAGGAAGAACCAAAGTAGTTGGCTGAACTCTTTCTGAAGACTGCCTTCTTCTGAGCTAGTGTTGGGGATTAACAACAAAATCTGCCTACCCTATCAGAACTTGCACCTGTTGAAACCTGGGTATTTTTGCACAAATGCACATTGTTCTGAGTCACACCATAGGCCTTTGAGACTTAAATGAGGGGGGTCATGTATATCTTTGACCAAAATCCTCCCACACAAGCACACAAACTCACTATATACAGTGCAACTAAAATATCAGAAAATAGTTTGACGGATTTTCAGTGGCTAAAATTGATCTCCCTACATTACCCTTTAAAACGCCTCCTGCTTAGATATACCCTACTTCTGTTCACGCCCAGTGGTTCAAAACTTTTTTTAATTGATTACATTTGGCCCTGCCCACAGTGTTTTTACATTCCTTGTGTGTTATAGCCTATATGTTATTATATTATTTGCATTATGTTTCAGTTGTTTGTTTGCTTTGTTGTTTTTACTGATGTATTTTGTTGGGCTTGGCCTTGTGTAAGCCACCCCGAGTCCCCCTGGGGAGATGGTGGCAGGGTATAAATAAAGATTTATTTATTTATTTATTTATTATTATTATTATTATTATTATTATTAAAACTAAGCTGTCTTAATATGAGACGATCTAGGAATCGTGGCGCAGTGAGTTAAAGCACTGAGCTGCTGAGCTTGTTGACCAAAAGGTCACAGGTTCGATTCCAGGGAGTGGCGTGAGCTTTCGCTGTCAGCCCTAGCTTCTGCCAACCTAGCAGTTCGAAAACATGCAAATGTGAGTAGATCAATAGGTACTAGGCCTGGGTAACAACGGAATTTTTTTTCTAAACTCGCTTCGTTTTTAGGGGTCCATCACGTTTCGTTTTTTTTTAAGAATTCCGAAATTTTGCTTTTAAAAATTTCGAAATTTACGAAATTTCATAAAATTACGAATCGATTTGTTAATGGCGGACGTGATTGCGCAATATGCTAAAAAAAACCTCCAAATGGGACAGGGGGAACTTCTGAAGCTTCCCTCTCCCTCTGTTGTTGACTGTTGGTGTGATAAAACAAACAACAACTATAAAACTTGCACCAGACATGCGAAAATAATTACGAAATAATTACGAAATAATTACGAAATAATTACGAAATAATTACGAAATAATTACGAAATAATTACGAAATAAATTGAAAAAAATGTTTCGAATCTAATTTACTCCTCACACTATTCCTGCATGGCTCAATATTGGATCGTAAGCTAATTTAAATACGAATTAATAACGAATTACGAAATTAACGAACGAAACCGCCCAAGCATAGTCTGTATGTCTAAACGTAACGGCGCTCCATGCGGTCATGCTGGCCACATACCTTGGAGGTGTCTATAGACAACGCCGGCTCTTCGGCTTAGAAATGGAGATGAGCACCACACCCCAGAGTCAGACATGACTGGACTTAATGTCAGGGGACTACCTTTACAACCTTTAGGAATCATATACGTTATTTTGACATTTTTAGACAAAGTATAAATATTAAGGCCAAATCCAAACACACTTATTGTCTACATGCCAGAACATTTCCAGATGTATCTGCTAGTTTAATTGTGGAGTTTCCCCAAGATTCTTAAAAAAAAATTATCAGAAGTTATCATCTTAAAGTATATAGAAGCAGCCCCTAGTGCCTTTTCACCTGAGTAGGGTGGCCCCCAGCCCTTTATACAGGCCAGATAGACCTTGGGTACGCAGCAGATCCCTGGCAATCACAGTGGCAGAGGGGCGCTGATAGGTTGTTGCAGACGCTGAGGTTTTTGTTTGCCTGTGGTGCAAACCTGGTGGTGAATGGGAAGCGGCTGCAGCAGAGAGTCCATCCTGTCCCAAGGCCTTTTGCTGGTGAGCCGCTAAAATAAAAGAAGAAAAATGTCCAACTCTCTTTTGGACCAAGAACTGATTCATCTGCTCCACTCTCTACTACTTCTTGGGATGTGAAGCACAATTTATTACATCCCACACCAGTGTGTTCTACAGAAAAACAATACATATTTCTAAATGAATGTCTTTTAACATATATGCATTTTGGTATGCACTTTTCTCTAATCTATGACCTTCGTTTCCCCTCCAATCCCCCCCCCCCACACACACATTGATATCACTGCCACCTCCCACAACATGTTTAATGGCTAAACGTGACAGTGATCAACTTCACAATTTCATTTTTATATATCTTAAAAAGAATTAATCTAAATGTTGCAGTCAGAAAATACCTGCAAGATTTCAGGTTCGAAAATGTCGTTGAGCAGGGTTAGCAAACATGTAACCCCCCAGATGTCCATTTTCCTTTCTAATTACTTATATTGGGTAGGCAGAGGTGGCCCTAGGTAATTTTCAATGGTAAGTAAACAATATTTTGGCACCCCCCCCCCCAAAACCAATCACTGATATGTATTTTCTGTTCATCATGGGAGTTCTGTGGGCCATATTTGGTTCAATTCCATCATTGATGGAGTTCAGAATGCTCTTTGATTTTAGGTGAACTATACATCCCAGTAACTACAACTCGCATATGTCAAGGTCTATTTCCCCCCAAGAGCGCGTCAAGAGCACCCCTGGGCAAAATCAACTATACTGCAAATGGTTACTTTGCGTAATGGGTTGAGCCGCCCCCGAGGGTAGGATTAATAGGGGTTGCAGTTCAACTACTCATGGGTTACATGTTTGCTACCTATGTTCAAGAGGTTTCTGCAGTCTGAGGACATATGCTAACATTTCACAGGTGAAAACAGACACAGTAGACTCTCAATAATGAAGCTCAAGTAACCGGAATGAAAATTGCACACTGTATTCACAAAGTGTTGTCAAAGGCTTTCATGGCCAGAATCACTGGGTTGCTGTAAGTTTTTTGGGCTGTGTGGCCATACAGCCCGAAAAACTTACAGCAACCCAGTGTATTCACAAAGCTGTTTTTAGAATACAGAAAAATTGCATTCCATTATGTTAAGTTTGTCTTTCTTTGCTTTTAATGACTGTATTTCAATATTAATATAAAGTTAATAAAGAGTTTATGATAGGGTATAGTACAGGGTGTAGTATTATTTTTTAATAATAACTCACAAGCAACCAGAAACTACATTTATCCAGCATCTGCCAATCACCATGATGGCCAGTTAAATGAAAGTTTATTGTATATGCTTTAACATGCCAATTCCCATTCTAAAGATCAACCCCTTAGCCTAAAACTCTTGGTCTTCACCAAAGGAAATTGATTGGTTATAAACATTGTGTTATAATACACTATAATACTACTACTAATAATATGATATTATAATTATATATTTTATATTACATGTAATATTACTAATAATATTACAATACAATGGTATAGAACAATATAGTAATATATAATACTGATATTGTACTATGCTAATAATATAATATATTGTATGTATACGTATCTTGAGTCCCCTTCGGGGTGAGAAGGGCGGCATATAAATGTTGTAAATAAATCAATATTATCATTTAGTGTTTGCTTCAGCACCACAATGATGTGAGTAGCAAGTGGTGCATAGCTCAGTATCTTTGTGTTCATCATAGGAATGCATTTTACAGCTAAATTAGAGACATGATAATCTAACTCCTCTAAAGAAATCTTTATTACACTTATAACCTGCCTTTCTCCCAGGGAAAGAGTCCTAACCTGCTCCCAATACATTTAGAACAATTGCAATAAAATACATGCATGAAAATGTGAATTAATTTTATTTCACAGCTTGTAAAAGTTTCAATTCCTAGAGAACTTCTAGAGACAAGGCCAAAACACATGAAAAATGGCAACTCTAGGAACTTGTATTAGCATTATTTTATCAAGGCAAATACAAGGAGGTGGAAGAAAGAAACGCCTGAGATGGGCAACGGATGCATATTATTCCAGGGGCAGGTAACAAAAATGATATGTTATTGGCAAACAGGAACACTTGGAGCATAAGAAGAGTTTATTGTTGAAGGCTTTCATGGCCAGAATCACTGGGTTGTTGTCGTTTTATTCAGGCTATATGGCTATGTTCTAGAGCAATGTTTCTCAACCTGGGGGTCGGGACCCCTGGGGGGGGTGTCACAAGAGGGTTTTAAAGGGGTTACCAAAGATAATTTTAAAACACCATATTTTCTATTAGTCATGTGGGTTTTATGTGGGAAGTTTGGCCCAATTCTATTGTTGATGGGTTTCAGAATGCTTTTTGGTTGTAGATGAACTATAATCCCAGGAATTACAACTCCCAAATGTCAAGTCTATTTCCCCAAACTCCACCAGTTTTCACATTTGGGCATATTGAGTATTCGTTTGGTCCAGATCCATCATTGTCTGAGTCCACAGTGTTCTCTGGATGGAGGTGAACTACAACTCCAAAACTCAAGGTCAATGTCCATCAGACCCAGTATTTTCAGTTGGTCATGGGAGTTCTGTGTGCCAAGTTTGGTTCAATTCCATAATTGGTGGAGTTCAGAACGCTCTTTGATTGTAGGTTAACTATAAATCCCAGAAACTACAACTCCCTAATGACAAAATCAATCCTCCCCCAACCCCACCAGTATTCAAATTGGGGCAAATTCGGTCCATGTCAATGAAAATACATCCTGCATATTGGATATTTGCTACATAACAGTAGCAAAATTACAGTTATGAAGTAGCAACAGAAGTAATTTTATGGTTGGGGGTCACCACAACATGAGGAACTGTATTAAGGGGTAGCGGCATTAGGAAGGTTGAGAAACACTGTTCTAGAGGCATTTTCTCCTGACGTTTTGCCTGCATCTATGACAAACATCCTATGCCATAGCCTGCATCTATGGCAAGGATGTTTGCCATAGATGAAGGCGAAACATCAGGAGAAAATGCCTCTAGAACATGGCCATATAGCCCGAAAAAACCTACAACAACCCATAAGAAGAGTATTTTATTGGCCCAGCTTTTTTTTCACCTTAACTATTCCAAAAAGGGGCCTCACCTAGCCTTCCAGCATCCTGTAGTTGAATCTTCAGCATTTCCATTGGGGAAGTGACCACCACCTGGCAGGTTCCCGCTCCACAGCCAGCCAGCATCTCCCTTCCTAATGACAATTCTTTTCTGTTGAGATGCAAAAGAATGGTTCAGAAACACAGTTGCTGTGGATTGAGATCAAAGTATCAGGGTTTCTTATCAGTTGGGACAGTAACAATATGCGCCACCCTTCCCAGGCTTCCTTGTTCTCTTTCTTTGAACATATTTGCTCTTTTCATATTAAAGCTTGGGTTCATTCCCTCCCTGCAGCATTATACTCTATTATTGTGAACATATCCTTTTGTAATTATGGAGTAACTTGTTCTTCAATAGGCAAAAAAGAGCCACGCAAAGGCTTAGTGACTCATAATACAGACATTTCCATTCTGCACCTTAGGATTTATGTGTCCACGGGGGAAAGCGCATACGTAGACACAGGGGATTGACAGGAGATTATTAGAAAGGGTTGCGTGCACCATACCCATCCTGAGAGAGCAACTGGCGGAAGAGATCATTGGCTGCCAACTTGATTGCTTTTTCGGGAGTGACGAGAGTTAGGTTCACAGCAGCCCCTGAAAGGAGATGAGAAAAGCAATACAATATCCTGTTATCTAGCATATTAGCACCTCCAGTTACAGCTACTGAAAGCACAAAAACACACTATTGACTAAAAGTGTTCTGATAAGTAATCTATATAAATAAAAATGTAATATTCATTTGTGGGATTAACATAACTCAAAAAACACTGGACAAATTGACACCAAATTTGGACACAATACACCTATCAGGTCAAAGAGTGACCATCACTCATAAAAACACTGAAAAACACAGCAAAAGAGACTTAAAAAGCCAAAAGAATTACATTACAACACATGCGCAAAACCACATATATACACAAACACACATATATGCACATATACACAAATATATAGACACACCTATATGTATATATACACACACAAAACACATATACACAGACTGGGCCACAGCAACGCATGGTAGGGGACAGCTAGTAAATAAATAAATGTTGGCTGAAATCTTATATCACGGTCTACATTATGCAACTTTAGGTATGCATATCTACATAGCAGACATGCTAAGGAATCCTGTTAGGTAAAGGATAAAGGTTTCCCCGACATTACGTCTAGTTGTGTCCGACTCTGGGAGTGGTGGTGGTGGTGCTCATTTCCATTTCTAAGTCAAAGAGCCAGCATTGTCCATAGACACCTCCAAGGTCATGTGGCCAGCATGACTGCATGGAGCGCCATTACCTTCCCGCAGAAGCAGTACCTATTGATCTACTCACATTTGCATGTTTTTGAACTGCTAGGTTAGCAGAAGCTGGGCCTAACAGTGGGAGCTCACTCCGCTCCCTGGATTCAAATATAAGTGGATGGATTTTACATTGCTGTAAAATAATGAATTCCTTTAGGTTGCAAGTTCAGCAACCTCCGCTCCCTGGATTCAAATATAAGTGGATGAATTTTACATTTGGTCAGCAAGTTCAGCAGCTCAGTGGTTTAACCCGCTGCACGACCAAGTGGCCCAGAAATCCTCTTCGTGAACCACAAAAACTTGTGCCAGGACACTTGTGGACAATTTGCTATATGACCAATATACATTGAAGCCAATGAACAGTGGTTCCATTGCGCATCGGTCCTGATGTGCATCTGTCACTTTGCCAGTCTCCATACATAATAATATAACAGCAGCCTCTTAGTGGATGTGGATGTTACAGAACTACCCAATTGTAATGGACTTAAATCCACTTACAAAGTCAGGGACTGTGGCGCAGCTGGCCGGGAGTCAGCTACATTAAGATCACTACTGACTGAAAGGTCATGAGTTCAAAGCCAGCCCGGGTTGGAGTGAGCTTCTGGCCAATTTTGTGTAGCTTGTTGTCGACCTTTGCAACCCAAAAGACAGTTGCATCTGTCAAGTAGGAAAATTAGGTACCACTTATGCGGGGAGGCTAAGTTAACTAATTTACGAGGCCATAAAAAATCTCCAGCGGGGAATGAGGAAGTACTTCATCAGTGTCACAGATGGATGGTGAAGCGACAGCTCTCCTGGTGGCCAGAAAAAGTTAGAATGTTAAATAGCCTCTGACTGTCTGTCTATATGTGTTGTGTGTCTATGGCATTGAATGTTTGCCATGTATATGTACACTGTAATCCGCCCTGAGTCCCCTGTGGGGTGAGAAGGGCGGAATATAAATACTGCAAATAAATAGATAAATAAATAAGTCCCCAACAAGATTCAAATCATAGAAATTAAATACTTGATTTAAAGTCACCTTAAACCAGATGAAATGTCAGCACCAAGTACACTTTCCCATTTAAAAATGGGAACCTTTTAAAGACAAAAAGACAAACTTTCTAAAAAAAATTACTGTTTTTCACGATACAATTTGCTTTCTCAGCTTGATACGTAAGGAATGATACAACAAGCCCTATGAGGAGCGGCTTAAGGAGCTGGTCATGTTTAGCCTTCAAAAGAGAAGGGAACAACTACAGAGAAGGCCCTCTTTCTCATCCCCACCAACCACGCTTGAGAGGAGACATGATGGCCATGTATAAATATGCGAAAGGCTGTCATAAGGAAGAGGGAGGAGGCTTGTTTCCTTCTGCCCTGGAAACTAGGACACGGAACAACGGCTTCAAACTACAGGAAAAGAGTTTCCACCTGGACATTAGGAAGAACTTCCTGACTGTGAGAGCTGTTCAGCAGTGGAACTTTCTGACCTGGAGTGTGATGGAGGCTCCTTCTTTGGAGGCTTTTAAGCAGAAGCTGGATGATCATCTGTTGGGGGTGCTTTGAATGTGAGATTTTCCTGCTTCTTGGCAGGGGGTTGGACTGGATGTCCCACGAGGTCTCTTCCAATTCAATGATTCTATTATTCTACGAATGAACTCAAGAGGGAGCTCTTGATCAATTTTAGAGATTTGTGATGAGCTGTAACAGATTACCATTTCCGCTGGGTTTTTCCCCCTCCACTCTCACCAAGTTGTTATATTACATTTATCTACTTTTAAACATATATATTAGAATTGTACTGCTTTTAGCATTACTTGTAGCATTGCATGCACAAGAGATTCTGGAGGATGTTTAGTCTCCTAATAAATGAGGCGGCAATTTTCAGGCAATAACTTCATCAAAAACCCAAGTTGGTTTCACAACAGAATGCGGAATCTAGGTGATTCACCACCCAATATCTCTGTGATCCCACACTGATTTAAAATCCCTAAAACATGGGTGGGTGAAGCTGTGGCTCTCCAAGTGTCGTCAGACTTAAACTTCCCATAATTCCTGACTAGAAAGCAGACTGGCTGAGGCTGATGGAAAGTGGTGCTCAACAACATCCGAAAGATATGCCTGCTCTATAGGCTCTCCCATAAAGGAATTCATTATTTTACAACAATGTAAAATTCATCCACTTATATTATGCATTACTAACTGGAGCTATAAGGAACATACTATGCCCCTACTCAAGCAGCTCCACTGGCTTCCAACAATTTTCTGAGCTCAATTCAAGGTGTGAGTTATTACCTACAAAGCCCTATATCAGTGGTTCTCAGCCTGTGGGTCCCCAGGTGTTTTGGCCTCCAACTCCCAGAAATCCCAGCCAGTTTACCAGCTATTAGGATTTCTGGGAGTTGAAGGCCAAAACATCTGGGGACCCACAGGTTGAGAACCACTGCCCTATATGATTCGTGTCCAACCTGTCTTCAAGACCGCATCTCTTTCTATGAACTGACACAGGCTTTGAGATCAGCAGGGGAGGCCCTCCTCTCGGTTCCACCACCATCTCAACCGTGGTTGGTGGGGATGAGAAAGAGGGCCTTCTCTGTAGTTGCTCCCTGGTTCTGGAATACCTCCCCAAAAGAAATTAGGTTACCCCCACTCCACCCTTTAATTCTTCCAATCCAACCTAAAACAATGGAACTTTAAGCAGGCTTTTGGCCTTGACTAGGCTGAAATTGGCCCACATGAGGTTGACACTTTGGCACTTACGTTGTGATTTGAAGGCAGCTAGTTTTAATTACAGATGGTCTGCATTTTAAACAGTGTTTTTATTTTATTTTAAGTGCTAATAGTGGTTGTTTTTATACTCATGTACCGTTTATATTATATACTACACTTGTAGTGCCTTGTAAGCCACCCCGAGTTCCTTTTGGGAGATGGCGGAGAGATATAAATTAAGATTATTTATTTATTTATATTTTATTTATTAGTATTAAAGAAACTCAATATTTTATATAAAACTAGCCATCCCCTGCCACGCATTGCTGTGGCCCACATGGGGGTTCTGTGTGGGAGGTTTGGCCCAATTCTATCGTTGGTGGGGTTCAGAATGCTCTGTGATTGTAGGTGAACTATAAATCCCAGCAACTACAACTCCCAAATGTCAAGATTCTATTTTCCCCCAAATCCACCAGTGTTCACATTTGAGCATATTGAGTATTCGTGTAGAGTTTCTCCAGATCCATCATTGTTTGAGTCCACAGTGATCTCTGGATGTAGGTGAACTACAACTCCAAAACTCAAGGTCAATGCCCACCAAACCCTTACAGTATTTTCTGTTGGTCATGGGAGAACTGTGTGCCAAGTTTGGTCCAATTCTATTGTCGGTGGGGTTCAGAATGCTCTTGGATTGTAGGTGAACTACAACTCCCAGCAACTACAACTCCCAAATGACAAAATCATTTTTTTTGCGTGAAGGACATACATGGGGTTATAAGGTGTCTTGTGTCCAAATTTGGTGTCAATTCGTCCAGTGGTTTTTGAGTTATGTTAATCCCACAAACGAACATTACATTTTTATTTATATAGATGATTTTTGCAACACATCGCTATTTTCTTTTGAACCACCACAATAATTATTCAAAAGCTTCCCCTTATTTTCAATTCACATAATTTAAACAAAAAACACTTTTTATACTACTGAAAACGAAAACCTTTTTTATATAGATTACCTCTATAAACGCCGAAGAACCCTTCTGAGCGAATAGTCTTAATCAAACAGTCTCGCCTGGAAAGAAAGAAAACCAAAAGTGTTTCAAAGGTTTTGACTGGCCTTGCAACTGTCTCCCATAGGGACCCTGCTCCACGTTCCTCCACTCTTTAGGGCCTCTGGTCATGGTGCCCTGACACCAAAACTACGGCGCTCTCATTCCACTGTGCTCTCTATTAACTATCTGATTGATAGCAAATATTGCATTTACATTTGCTATATAATTTTATAATGGTTATATTGGCTATTCTGTGTGTATTTACACAAACACACACAAAACCCAGAACATAGAATCATAGTTGGAAAAGACCTCTTAGGCCAACGTTTCTCAACCTGGGGGTCGGGACCCCTGGGGGGGTCATGAGAGGGTGTCAGAGGGGTCTCCAAAGACTATCAGAAAACACAGTATCTTCTGTTGGTCATGGGGGTTCTGTGTGGGAAGTTTGGCCCAATTCTATAGTTGGTGGGGTTCAGAATGCTCTTTGATTGTGGGTGAACTATAAATCCCAGCAACTACAACTCCCAAATGTCGAGTCTATTTTCCCCAAACTCCCCCAGTGTTCACATTTGGGGATATTGAGTATTAGTGCCAAGTTTGGTCCAGATCCATTATTGTTTGAGTCCACAATGCTCTCTGGATGTAGGTGAACTACAACTCCAAAACTCAAGGTCAATGCCCACCAAACCCTTCCTGTGTTTTCTGTTGCTCATGTGTGCCAAGTTTGGTTCAATTCCATCATTGGTAGAATTCAGAATGCTTTTTGATCATAGGTGAACTGTAAACCTCAGCAACTACGACTCCCAAATGACAAAATCAATCTTCCCCAACCCCACCAGTATTCCAATTTGGGCTTTTGGGGTATTTGCACCAAATTTGGTCCAGTGAATGAAAATACATCCTGCATATCAGATATTTGCATTGCAGTTCCTAACAGTAGCAAAATTACAGTTGTGAAGTAGCAACAAAAATAATTTTATTGTTGGGGGTCACCACGACATGAGGCATTGTATTAAGGGGTTGTGGCATTACAAAGGCTGAGAACCACTGTCTTAAGCCATCCAGTCCAACCCCTGTCAAGAAGCAGGAAAATTACATTCAAAACACCCCCGACAGATAGATGCTTCAATTCTTTTTGCTTAAAGTGGCTTCGCATAATATATTATATAACACTTGGGGAGAATGAGGGAGAAAACAAACAGCAATCCTCAATGTTCTTAGAAGAGGAATTATTCGCATTCTCTTAATGTTTATGCCTATCATCCACATTATACCAGACAAAGTACTAAAAAGCATACATTCCAGTGTAGACTGCTTGTCCTTGCTGATTCTGGAGGCGGGTTTTGGCCAAATCAATGGGGAAAACACAAGTGACTCCAACAAGCCCTGCTATACCGCCATTGAGTAACTTTGCTGGGAGGCTGGGAAGAGGAAAGAAAATTGTCATTAGAGTGCTGTTTGGATTGTTAAGATAGAATAAGCTTTAATACATTCTATGCTGTATTCAATTACAAAATGATCTGTACAGAAATACTGATATTTGCTAATATACTTGTCAATACCTTTTCATGGCACACTTCATTGTGCATTTATATATGAAATGTTTTAAAATCTCCAATATGAATTCTAAGCTGGTTGTGAAAGGAAACTATCTGCTTTTTCTTTACACTGTGATACTGTTCATGCTCAGAATCATAATGAAACGTAGGCCTGGATCCTTTTAGTAACCCCAACTAAAGTAGACTATGTGGCAGAATGAAAAATAAACCACATGTAGCTCACGTCTTTCCCAATCCCAATGCCAGCAAAAAGATATGCCACGCAGATGATCAGAAAAGAATAAGGAGTTTATTCTTTGTAATGCAGAGCAACATATATACAGTCATGTGAACAGTTGCATTAACTCATGCAATGTCCTTTGAGAGAAATTCAAATGGTCTTTACGTGTCCATGTGGAAAATCTTCTTCAGAAACCAAGAAGCAAAAATACAAACTGACTTGGCTGGCTCCTGCACAGAAAACTCAAACATGTAACTGTTGCCAAAACTCCCAGGCTCAGCTAGCATCTTGGCATGGCCCAACCAATCAGCTTGGTGCTTTGCATTTTTCAGTTAACACACTCAGCACCTGATTTTTATTTACATGCCCCAACAGACTAATTCAATCAGCTGCTGAACAAGGAGTCAACACTTTGCATAAACTTTACTGACACAATGGGCTAATTCTTGTTGGGACTAGCAATAGCATTCTGGTCAAACTGGCCAGGATCTACATCAGGCAGGGGAAAACTCTGGCCCTCCAGGTGTTTTGGACTTCAACCCACACAATTCCTGGCCTCAGACCCTTTCCTTTTCCCCCTCAGCTGCTTAAGTTACTTTTGAAGAGCAAGCATTTTTCAGATGACGAGACTCTGATTTCCAAAGTCACAACATGGTTTTTGGAGCAACCTGTTGACTTCTACAACTGTTTACAGTTGCTTGAAAATATGGGAGAAGTGTGACCCTAGGTGACACCTATGTAGAGAAGGACTCATAACTGTGCCAAGTTTCATTGCTCTCAATCCACAAGAAGTGGGTCTTTAGCGAACACTCCTCGTAGAGTGTCCTTGGACCAGGCTTATAGATGGCTCATCCAGTAAATGTAGAAATGTCTCTGTGCTGCTCTACAATTTCAGCCTTTACAAACAGAATTAAAAATGAAAAAGGTCATATATACAAATTATTAACTACCCTACACTGAGGCATCCCGTACCCTACCCACCATCACCCAGGGACAGGAGACTAAGCATCCTTCATCCTGCTTCAGATGGGGATTCTCCCCTCCTCCCCTCCACCACAACTTTTAAAAAGAAGTAAAAGAGAAGTAAAAGAGAAGAGAACTGACCTAATCTTCTTCTTGTCCCTCATTGTTCCCGGGGGACGTTGTTGTACGGAGGTGGCGGAGGTGGCGGCAGCTGCTGCTGACACAGGAAAATTCTTTCAAATGCAGAGATGCTTTCCTCTCTGCCTTTTCTCAGCTGGGAGAAAGAAGACCATTACTGCCTCTTTGATATATTACTTGCCAAGAATCTATTATAAGTAACAAATGAGAGTGTCAGTTAAAAGACAGAATGGCAGTTTATCATTTAATCAACTTCCGGAGAAGATAACTAGGATATTTAGTGGAATCAGATGGAAGGCTCGCCTCCTGCCTTTTCCCTTCCCCTCTTCAATCAGTTTAAACCAGGGAAATTTCCTGCCCCCTTTTCAGTAGACGACCATATATTGTCGAAGGCTTTCATGGCCGGAATCACTGGGTTGTTCTAGGTTTTTTCAGGCTATATGGCCATGTTCTAGAGGCATTCTCTCCTGACGTTTCGCCTGCTTCTACGACAAGCATCCTCAGAGGTAGTGAGGTCTGTTGGAACTAGGAAAATGGGTTTATATACCTGTGGAAAGACCACGGTGGGACAAAGGACTCTTGTCTGCTGGAGCTAGGTGTGAATGTTTCAACTAACTACCTTGATTAGCATTTGATAGCCTGGCAGTGCCTGGAGCAATCTTTTGTTGAGAGGTGATTAGATGTCCCTGATTGCTTTCCCTCTGCTGTTTTGCTGTTTTAATTTTAGGGTTTTTTAATACTGAATTGCAATCTGGTCAGATAGATTTAGCTATCATATCTGTTTCCACAACTTGCTGACCCACATGAGTTCCTGTCCATCTCCATCCTTGCTTGATCTATTACAAGATCCCATTGCCTATAACATTGTAAGGATGTGCACCATTAGTTTCAGATTTTGCTGGTGTCTTTATGTCTTTTTTTATCAGAAAAACAACACAGACACTAACAGAAAGTAGAGCTATTCTGTCTTTTTGGCTCAGTCTAGAAATGGCAGCAAAAGATCTCAGGCTTCCTGGAGAATGGTATCAACAGGGGAAGAAAAAAAATGCAATGTATATTCAATATATTTGTGTGTTTTGAGCAAGTTGGGTGTTCCTTTATGCTGCCCAAGCTAAGATTAAACAAAAGACTGTGTGTATTTATGATCATCTTCATGCTGTTCAGCTATTATATAACATTTTTGTCCAGCCAGTCAAAAAAGAAGTCAGGCAACAAATTTGTATGGCCAATGAGTCATACACAAACAGTGAATCACAACCTGCTTGTTAGCATTATTTAGTTACTTAGTTGCTAGGAAAGCTCTCTCTCCATCTATGTTTAAGACCCAAACACTGCTTGTGGCTTTCCAGTTATTTATGTGTAACTACTACATTAAAGATTTTGTGTTACTAACAATATTTCATGCATACGAAATGTGAACATCGATGAGCCTTGTCCATCCTTTCTTGCTACTTCAAGGTTGCTGGACGTACCAACGACTAATGGAAGATGTAGGCGAACACTGCATTAAACTTACTCCTAATATTATGGACTTCTTGAGTGTGGTTTTAATAGTGCATGGACCCTTCTCCAGTAAATTAGTACTGTCCTCTCTTCTGAGCTATTACACAATGAGAAGGCTAAACAATGGTTGCAGGTCCATATTCTACACAAAACTGTCAATCGGTGCACTCATAACATATCTATGTAGAATAAATAGCAAATACTGATGGTCTATTTTCATCGAACAATTCACACAATTGGCAGCCAATAGGGGTGTTATTTAAAAAGTTATGGTTGTTTACCAAAATCTGCTCAGTGAGCTTGAAACTCAAGTGATGGCAGAGAATTCTTATCACTCACAACTGCAGGACAATGCTGTTGTTATTTATCTTTTCTTTGGTAAACAAAGGAAATCCACTTTCGAGCCCTGCCTATCTCCGCGATTGCATCTCCCCCTATGAACCGGCGCGGACTCTTAGATCTTCCAGGGAGGCCCTTCTTGTTCCTGCCACTGTCTCAAGTGCAGTTGGTGGGGACAAGGGATAAGACCTTCTCGGTGGTGCCCCCCACCTTTGGAATGCCCTCCCCAGAGAGCTGTAAGTTCCATCACTAGCCTCCTTCCAAAAGGACTGGAAGACCTAGTGGTTCCAGCAGGCTTTTGATGATGATTAGCCCCAGGTGCTACCCTGGCCAAAAGTTAGGTCCCTGCTCAGCACTCTACCCACTTCCTTGGCCCTCTTCTACCTCATTGCCCTTGACCTGGCCTAGCTCTATTATAGCTATTCAGCAGGCCCTGGAAAAGAATAGCCTCAGGCACTACCCTGACCCTGTTCTGTACTTTACCCACTTTCCCGGTCCTATGCTTCCCATTGGCCCAGCTCTCTCATATCTGTGCCCCAAGCCTTGGAAATAAATAGCTCCAGGCCCCACCCTGACCATCATTCAGGTTCATGCTTGCACTCCCCTGGCCCTAGTTCATCTCGTTACATTAGCCCTCCCATAGTTATTGAGACCTACTGTTGAATATTGGTCATAGAAAACTGAACTTGTCGGATGGAATTAGCACTAAACTGGTTTTTAATTTCAAAATATGTATGATTGTTTTATAGTATTATGTTTTTGAAATTGCAGTGTTTGACCTATGCTGGAAACCGTCCTGAATCTCCTTAGAGAGATAGAGCGGTATACAAATAAAAGTTTATTATTATTATTATTATTATTATTATTACAAAAAAAAAAACCCTGAAAGAAGCAACTGGAAATGTAAGAGACAATCAAAACTGATAAATGGGAGCCCCCAATTAATTCCCACGAATAAGGGAAACATCAGGCCTCTATAGTCACAGATCCAACCATCCATGGATTCAATTGTCGATGCTTAAAAAAGTATTCAATTTTCAAAAAAGTGAACCTTAATTCTGCCATTTTAAACAAGAGAGTCAATTTTGTTATGCTGTTGTACATAATGGGACTTGAGCATCCATGGATTTTAGTATCCATGGGCTGTTGGTGGCCCTGGATCCAATCTCCATCAGACATCAAGGGGTCAGTCACTATAGTGTGATTTGATAGCAGATGTCGTATCTAGAACCACTCCAGGTTGTAAGTTCCCCCATTTTTATTTCCAATTTGGTTTCCAAGCTAAAGGATGCCCAGATGTTCTACAACACCAAAGCAGCTAAACCAGCAGTTCTCAACCTGTGGGTCCCCAGATGTTTTGGCCTTCAACTCCCAGAAATCCTAACAGCTGGTAAACTGGCTGGGATTTCTGGGAGTTGTAGGCCAAAACACATGGGAACTCACAGGTTAAGAACCACTGAACTAAACTGATAGCAAATAGAAAGACCATAATGCATGCTGTCTGATAAGCTCCACTGTGGGTAGGGTATCAGTTGCTGATTCCAGTATCAGTAGAAGAACAATGGACTGTACATCTACTAACATAGAGATTACTTCTATTGGCATTTTATCAGAAGGTGGTTCTAGCAAGGATTTGCACACTGCCTCTGAAACAATCAATATTATAATATATCCATGAGTGAAACATAAATGTAAAGAGCAAACATTTTGAGAGAAAAATATACTTACCTTGCTTATTTGCAAGAGTCTGAATTCTTCCTTTCCTCCTCAATCTCAGTTCTAAGCATATGACTCACATCTGGTTTCTTCCTGCTAACAAACCCCATTATTGCTTTTAGGGACAGTTAAACTCTCAGTGATTTTATCCAAACACACTGTAGAGTGAAACAAAGCAAAACAAAACAAAAACCCGCTTTCTGGTTACTCACCAGGCCTCTCCCTTTCAGGCCTGCAGAGAAGGAGCCCCAAGCCCCACCCAAGCGGCAGGGTGAAGGCTGGTGGGTGAAGAGCTATCTTGTCTTGGAAAAATAAGTTTGACTTTAAACTGGTTTTGAGACAAATACTGTTTGCATGTAAGCATGCTCAGACAAGTCTTGCTTTCTCAAGTACTAGAAATATCTCTGCTTGTTAAAGTGAAATTGTTTTCTTGTTAATAGGGGTTGCTTAAAAGGTAAAGGTTATTTTTCTTTAAGAGGCAGAAGGAAAACCAAAGTCAACCATTGTACCTGATTTTCAGTCCAGGTATGACTTCTTCTTGCTCTCAAATTGCAAAATATTACAGTGGTAGTTATATAGACTACAAAGTTAATGCCAGCCAATTTTTCTAAGCAAAAAAGGGAGATATGCCTTTGTTTTTCTAGTGTTTCTCAATCTTGCGGTCAGGATCCCAGGGGGTGTCCAAAGGGGTTGCCAAAGACTATAAGAAAACATGGTATTTTCTGCTGGTTATGGTGGTTCTGTGTGGGAAGTTTGGCCTAGTTCTATAATTGGTGAGGTCCAGAATGCTCTTTAATTGTAGGTGAAGTACAACTCCCAAATGTCAATGTCTATTTTCCTCAAACTCCACCAGTGTCCACATTTGGGCATATTGAGTATTCTGTGTCAAGTTTGTCCAGATCCATCATTGTTTGAGTCCACAGTGCTCTCTGGATGTAGGTGAACTACAACTCCAAAACTCAAGGTCAATGCCCACCAAACCCTTCCAGTATTTTCTACTTGGTCATGGGAGTTCTGTGTGCCAAGTTTGGTTCAATTCCATCATGGTGGAGTTCAGAATGCTCTTTGATTGTAGGTGAACTATAAATCCCAGCAACTACAACTCCCAAGTGACAAAATCAATCCCCCTCCCAACCCTACCAGTATTTACATTTGGACATATTGGATATTGGTGCCAAATATGGTCCAGTGAATTAAAATACATTCTACATATCAGATATTTACATTACAATTCATAACAGTAGCAAAATTACAGTAATGAAGTAGCAATGAAAATAATGTTATGGTTGGAGGTCACCACAACATGAGAACTGTATTAGGGGGTCACGGCATTAGGAAGGTTGAGAGCTACTGTTCTAGACCCAAATTCACTTTTCCAAAATAGGGGCATTAATGTGTCATTCAACTTTGAAGGGCTCGAGGCCATCAATCCTGTTCATAGAATCATAGAATCAAAGAGCTGGAAGAGACCTCATGGGCCATCCAGTCCAACCCCCTGCCAAGAAGCAGGAATATTGCATTCAAATCACCCCTGACAGATGGCCATCCAGCCTCTGTTTAAAAGCTTCCAAAGAAGGAGCCTCCACCACACTCCGGGGCAGAGAGTTCCACTGCTGAACGGCTCTCACAGTCAGGAAGTTCTTCCTCATGTTCAGATGGAATCTCCTTTCTTGTAGTTTGAAGACATTGTTCCGCATCCTAGTCTCCAGGGAAACAGAAAACAAGCTTGCTCCCTCCTCCCTGTGGCTTCCTCTCACATATTTATACATGGCTATCATATCTCCTCTCAGCCTTCTCTTCTTCAGGCTAAACATGCCCAGCTCCTTAAGCCGTTCCTCATAGGGCTTGTTCTCCAGACCCTTTATCATTTTAGTCACTGTTATCTTTCTTGTGTAGATTCTATCTATCTCTGACACATTTGCTCAGCATGACTGCTATTGAGAAGTAGATGTGTACTGTCTGAAGTATGTTAATGGGGCTTAGATGCCTACTGTTATGCTGCCTTCTGCTTAATAGTGTTTTACATAATCTCCCTCTGCCCTGGAATAAAAATTAACATGTAAAGCAAGAGATTTTTTGAGAAGTCTTCTAATATAGTCTGATAGCTATCAACCTTCCAAGAATCCAGAACCTTTTAGAAATCTATGTACTTCAGTGGTCTCCAACACAAGACTAGAAACTCCCTAAATTTAACTCCCAAGAGACATATTAATCCAGAGGCAAGAGAACCTTAACCAGCAGTCCAGGGAACATGGTGTAAAACATGTTCATCACTGAGCCTGGAATCCCAGGTTTCAACGGTGCCCAGGAGAGTTTTCAGAATTTTTAGCTTGAGGATGAATGGAGAATCACCATGGAGAATATTTAAAGACAATGCTTGAGGAAATGTTTCAAAAGTCATGAAGTAAACAAAGTTATTATTTCTGTAACTTTGATCTACACTGGGAATTGAAAAACTAAAATCAAATAATGTTTCAATAAATATTTATCAACAAGCAATTATAACTTTCCTCAGAAGTTGCCAACATTTTAAAGTGTTTAGGGCAGGGGAATTCCCAGGCTTCAACTTTGATTGAAGGTGGGGTATAAAGTAATCAAATAAATGATTTTTTTTTCATGTCAGGAGCTACTTGAGAAACTGCAAGTCGCTTCTGGTGTGAAAGAATTGGCCGTCTGCAAGGATGCTGCCCAGGGGACGTCCAGATGTTTTACCATCCTGTGGGAGGCTTCTCTCATGTTCCCGCATGGGAAGCTGGAGCAGACAAATGGGAGCTCATCCAACTCCCTGGATTCGAACTGCTGACCTTTTGGTCAGCAGTTCAGCTGGCACAAGGGTTTAACCCATTGTGCCACCGGGGGCTCCAAATAAATAAACAAATCTGACATCCTAAATCTTATAGAAGTCCTACATCTCTAAGTGGTGTGTATCTCCTCTTGCTTCCTGTTTATAACAACCACTCTGGGGCTGTTACAGGGATACTGATACTGAATCAAGAATCAGTGATGCTCTTTAGCATGATTTGAAGGCAACAGCTGCTTCAATAATTACTTTAATGGATCTGAAATAAATGACCTTTCTTGGAGAGAAGGTGACTGCCTTGGAAAAGGCTCATCTTGAACTGCGTAGCTATATGAGCCAATGCAGAATATTCGCAGCATGAGATGGTAAAGATCTGACATAACCTCTAATGTTTGCACAGCCTGCAAAGTAGATTTAGAACAAAAATGTTCAAAGGTGGCTCTTACTGAATTAATTGCATGAGGAGAAGGTCAGATTTGATCAAGGATCAATACCCAGCTAGTGAGATATAACAGAAGCAAAGCTTAATGGAATATCTGGATGTTTCTGAGAGCAACCTTTACTGCCTGCATATAACAAAGCTAACAGAAGAAGCCTGCACTATGATCTGGAAATGGAGCAATTACACTAGGGGCATATTGGTAACTGGAGAAGTCTTTGGTTGCAAAATATCCACAATACATGACTTCTATGCCCTACGGTCTGGCATACATTAATAAAAAGCTATTAATCTGATTTGAGAGTGCTGGATTGGCAGAGTGGGTTGTGAACTTTTTATAATCCCTAGATTCTGGGAGTTTGTAATGGAAAGAGAAAAAAAAATGAAAGCCATATATATTTTTTCTGACTCAGCTGGTAAAGGGGGAGTGTTCCACCCAACAGGAAAAGAGACACTATATTGCCGAAGGCTTTCATGGCTGGAATAACTGGGGTGTTATGTGGTTTCCAGGCTGTATGGCTGTCTTCTAGCAGCATTTTCTCCTGATGTTTCACCTGCATCTGTGTGTAGCTAGAACACGGCCATACAGCATCCCCAAAGAGACACTGCAATATTCCTGCTTCTTGGAAGGGGGTTGGACTGGATGGCCCATGAGGTCTCTTCCAACTCTTTGATTCTATAATTCTATGCTACAGGAAAGGTAGGACACTACCACCTACAGTGCAGATAGAGCAGGCATGGGCAAACTTTGGCCCTCCAGGTGTTTTGCAATTCAACTCCCAGAAATCTCAGCCAATTTACCAGGTGTTATAAATCGTGGGAGCTGAAGTCCAAAACACCTGGAACACCGAAGTTTGCCCATGCCTGGGTTAGAGTATTAAGGAAACTCCTGCCTCTGATTTGGGCACTCTTCCCCATAGTTCTAAACGCATGCCAGATTGCACTGGTGTTGTCAATAGTAAAAAAAGAGGTTAAGAGGGACTTCCTCCTTTTCAAATTTATTTCATATACTTGGGAGATCTTTGCCCTGTTAACTCTTTATTGCACAAAACCATGAAAAACTTATTGTGCACATTTTGCCTACTAAAATCCACATTTTCTCTCCTAAAGTCACTCCCTCGTACCCTAGGAGGAGCATATAGTCATGTCCCCATACAGATAGCATGCTAAAAGGTTGTAGCATTGCACCCAGAATAGCTGCAGCATTACATATTCCTATCATGCTGGTATGTTTATTTCGCATTCTCAATCACGATTGTAAATCTTGAACAGAACACGTCTGAAGGATACAAAGTCTTACATTGGCAAGAACCAAAATATAAAGAGAAACTGGGATATTACATGTTTACTTGGGTCAGCCATATTTTTTTTTTGTTTCCCATGTGGTTTTGTTAATTTACTTGAGACAACCGACACTATTTCCTCTGCAGGTTCCTTGTCTGTAGCTTCTCTTGGGTTACAACACACAGTGATACAAAGTATGCAGACTCCTTTGAAGAGGAACTAAGTTGCGGTGCCTCTTGGAAATCACATTCAGGCTTTTTCTATTTGAATAATTTATCTAACATATTTTCTGGCATAGAAAATGACTGGGGGGTGTAAGACGACCCCAACTTTTCCATCCAAAATTGAATGTTTAGGATATACTCACCGTATAAGACCACAGCTCTTTTTTGTAGTATTTGAGAGAGCTTTCTTTTCTCCAAGCTTGGGGGGGTTGTCTTCTCTCAGAGGCTCATGGTGAGGGAAAGTCAGCATAGGCCGCCGGCGGCGGGGACAGCCCAGTGCTCTCCATGGCAATGCAGCTTGCTGATCCCCTCTCCACACCCCCCTCTGTTCTCCTCTGTTCTCCCCCTCCATCCTACTCCTCCTCTTGCCATGCCTGAGAAGGAGGAGAGCTTTCTTCACTCCAGGCTTGAGGGTTGTCTTCTGCCAGAGGCAAGGCAGAGCCAGCACTAGGCTGCCGCCGGCGGGGACAGCCCAGTGGTCTCCATGGCTTGCCGCTCCTCCTCCCTGCGCCCCCCTCCCCCTCCTCCTCAGGCCGTGCTGCTCAGGATGCCAAGGGTAGAGGAGGCGTGTAGCTACCCTCCCACTGGAGCAGGACACCTGAAGCAGCTGCTCCTGCACCCCTCTGGCACCACTTGGCTCCCTGTCAGGCTTCACTCTCCCCGAGGGCCTCCTCCAGCGAAGGTGGCGACGTGACGGAGCCACTGGGTGATGGAACATAGAACATAGAACATAGAACCATAGAGTTGGAAGAGACCTCGTAGGCCATCCAGTCCAACCCCCTTTGGCCAAGAAGCAGGAAAATTGTATCCAAAGAATCATAGAGTTGGATGAAATCTTGTGGGCCATCCAGTCCAACCCCATTCGGCCAAGAAGCAGGAAAATTGCATTCAAAACAACCCCGACAGATGGCCACCCAGCCTCTGCTTAAAAGCCTCCAAAGGGGGAGCCTCCACCACACCCCACGGCAGGGAGTTCCACTGTTTCCCAACAGGAAACGGTTTGTTTATTAGCAGTCTTTGGGAGGGAGATTGACCCACGCCACACAGGGCAGGGGGCTTCACCAAAGCTGCAGAAGAAGGGCTTGGGTTTGGTGAAGTGGTGGCTTTCTTGCCCAGGAAGGGGAAACTTCTCCTTGGTGCACAAGAAACTTCCTAACTCGAAATACGAAAAAGGAAGGGAGGGGGAAAGCCACGGTTCAAACTTCCTTCTAATCTAATGTCTGTTACCTTGATACAGAACTGGACAGGAGGGCCCTCTGACATGTCTCCGCTGAGGAGGAGGAAGCACAGGCAGGAGGAAGAAAGAAAGAAGTTCTTGGCTGGCTTTCTCTCTCTTTTTCCCCCCCGCACTGGCTGGCTTCCTTCCTCTTCCTGTTCCTCTTCCTCCCGGAAGGAAGCCTCCCCGCCTTGCCCTGCCCACCGCGGGTGGTTTAGCTATGCCCCACTTCCTCGGGCCCGCTCTTGCTTTTCCTGCGGGGGCGCCTTATGGAGAGGAGGAGGAGAAGCCGCCTGGAAGACTTGAGGCTTTTGATTGCCACCCTTGCCGCCCACCCTTTAAGCAACATTTACTCATCCCTTGCAAAATATTTAATATAATAAATTTAATACCCAGCATATTAGACGACCCTCAACTTCTGAGAGGATTTTCCAGGGTTAAAAAGTCGTCTTATATGCCGGAAAATACGGTACCTTATTCAAAAGTAATTGTACAAAAATGCTACTTGAGATAGTTATAAAATAGTTTTAACCTAGTGAAGTGAATTATAGTATCTGCGATTCCATAGTTCTTTCTACTGGATGAAAGAATAAAGAGGGGAAAAAATAGTGTCACTTTGCTACAGTATTAATATTACATCTTTGAAACATTCCAGGCAGCAATTAACCAATTTACGAGGCTTCCAATTATTTTATCACTTAACTGGTCAAATATGAACCTTCCAGAGAGGGAAAGTCCTTTGTAGTGGATCCCAATGCTTTGTGTGCAGAAAAAGTTACCAGCATTTCTAATACGAAGGATTTCTGTTTACAGGTGATAGAATGATTTCAACTTGAAATCATGGAGAACCACTGCTGATCAAGGTAATGATCTTGATAGACTGATGAGCTTTGTATATGGTAGCTTTGTGAATTTCATTGGGGAGATGAAATTAAACACAGACCAGGCTCAGACTGCTATTTTAAGAACATACTTTATACAAAATAACAACTTCTTATGGAAATAAAATCTACAGATCTCTAAGGATCAAGCTTTTTAAAAAAAGGATCCTTAAAAGATTACCCAGACACACAATATTAACCTAACTATTGAGGTAACTGTCACTCTCAGGGAATCAGTAGACAAAGACAAAATATACACAATACAAAAATAAATAGCAATCCCCTTTCCACTATTGACCAGGAGAGTTCAAACCCAGCTCTTTGCAGCAGCAAAAGTGGAGAGGAAAGGATCCCTGATGCGGCGCTCCATGGGCAGGCAAAGTAATCAGGGCTTTTCAGGAGCAGCAGAAAAGGCAGCTGAGTGAGGTACCTGAGCCCCAGCTGGGGGGAAAGAGGAGCATACGGGAAGAATTCAGTCAGTCACTCTTATTTCAGGTGTCAACTCTCAAATGATGGGCTCTCTTGACGGAAGCCTCCAGCGACGTGAAGAAGTTCAGTTTGTTGTGGCATGAAAGGCTCAAGCAGACTCTCTTCTGAAGCCCAGATGAGGACTTCATTTACTCAGTCAAACACTGCCACATGCAGTCTAGAGCTTGTTAGATTTCTCCCAGAGTTTATCAGTGATAGATTTTCACAGCTTGATGATGATAAGCCTCTTACAATTGTGGTTCACAGTCCTGTTTTGCAAGGCCTCCAAACAGGCAAACATCAAATAGAATACCAGCATCCACCCATAGGAACATTCTCCTTTCTTCTTATGTCCCAAAATAGGCAAATTACATTCTTTACAATCTTAATTACAATAATACAGTTCCTCCCAGCCCACAATTCAAATAACCCAAAAATAATATTTCAGGAATGATGAAAATATGCAAAGCATTGTCAAAACTCAACTACTTCAACTGGAAATAAGAGTATTCTTGCAAATACTCAGGTCACAGACCCAATATATTCCCTGGCAACAGGGTTCTTCCTTTTCTGCTCCCAGTTAGAAACTCTTATCCTTTTTAATGACCATGAGAACATCTCCCTTATTGCCCTTTGATAAAATTCAGCAGTACTGTAAGAGGCTATGCAGCAGGAAGAGGGTACTTGAAACATGAAAACATAATTTTTTGTTGCAAAATGTAGAATATAGACAGGGGGGAAATTAATTCTAGCCACTCTAGCAATGCAAGTACAAGATGTCAAAAACATACAATATGTCAGGCACCAGCAATATATTCCTGCCACAAGGATGATAGAACTTTATCTCCAAGATGTAACTAGGGACCAGGAGAAAGCAGAGTCACTAGCATGTTTTATTGCAGTGGTTCTCAACCTGTGGGTCCCCAGATGTTTTGGACTTCAACTCCCAGAAATCCTAACAGCTGGTAACCTGGTTGGGATTTCTGGGAGTTGTAGGCCAAAACATCTGGGGACCCACAGGTTGAGAACCACTGCAATAAAACATGCTATTAGGGTTCAGTGTCCATCAACTAGCATGGAAGAACAAAGCACCAACATTTGTAGGTGCACAGGTTATTATATAAACAATTGCTTATAATTGGCATGTGCATCAACTGGAGGGAGAAGTCAGGACCAAAATATTTAGAAGCTCTTGCTGTTTAATGGATTTTGTATAGGACTGACATCTTGTAGTCAGCTGGTAAGTAGTGGGGCTAAATCCAACGCAATATTCCTATTTGTGCTAGGAGGACTGATCATCCACAATTAAGAGTTCTTTATGGGTCTTCTGTTAGTAAATTGATTTTGCATATCCTCTGCTAAAGGACACAGCAGAAATTTGGCAGCCTTTGCTAACCACCTAATAAGAAACAATTATGTAATTGCTAAAACAAATTAGTTACAAAATTTGACAGCACATAGAACTTCTTGCCAAACATGAGTTCTATTCTTAAGTCCTTCAATACTGATATCCCATGTTCTCTCTGCATTCTTCATCAACACCTAAATTTATATTAAGAAACATTGTTGCCACAAAGAACATCTTTGATAAATATTTGATCTGTAGGAAAAACTTTTGTCATTGTATTGCTACTTAGTTTTTCTTCTATTTCTCTAGCAATGATTCATTACCAAATTTCAAAATTTTGTTCAGTCCTGGCAGCTCACCACTTATCCTCTCATAATATGCAAGAATGATGGTCTAATATCTAACAAACCTCTTGGGCTTAGGAAATACTCCAAATAAGCAGAAAGTTAAGAGCACCTATGAAACTAAGGTTAACTCCAAAGAAATTGGGTGAAATGCCTAGCTGCTATAGCTTCAAAGAGCCTCCAAAACCCATCATGATTTATACCCTGTGCTCATACTTTTGGGGAAAAAAAGTTTGCTATGAGCAACTAACTGTATCTGGGTCCTGAATCAAAAGCTCATCATTTCCTAATGCAAATTAGGTAGTTCCATTTTCTTATTTGCTTTTCTTCCTCCTTGCTCTTCAGAGCAGCTGAATATTCTGACATTGCAAAATCCTTCCTTTACTTTCTGCATCCTCCACCTCTATAAAGTAATACTTGAGTACTGCAAATGTTCTGACTGAATCAGCCCTTATCTTGTCATATTGTAGTGAAGAAAGGCATGCTTTAGTAAATGTTTCACTTAGGGATTATACAGAAAAATGACAAATGCTACTGTTTTTACCTCAGAATTTGTAGTATTATTGACTGAAAGTAACCAAATCTTTGGGGCTGGTCAAGTAGCGTTTCCAAGATTAGTATGGCTCAGCAATGTGTTCTCTTTATGTCAGAAATTGCAAAAGTGCCTTAAAGAGTGAATATATTTTCAGATAAGGGATGTATTCTCCCACCTTCATAGCTGAGAGAAAAGTATGGATAAGTCTTTATGTGACAAGGTTTGATTTTGTTGTTTCACATTTGGAATGTGATACATCCCATCTGTACGCTAAACAGACACAGATGGTTAGATGTGGAAGGCTACTGTTTGAAACAGTTTCCTCATTATGATATACAAAAGCTTTGGAAACCACTATCAAGCAATCTATTGCTGAGTCATAAAAGGGCTCACAGAGTACTCAGTCACTAACTAGAAAACTAGGAAATAGCTGTCTGTTACATTATCAAAGTTAAGAATAAGAAAATTATGAATGTTAAAGTATGGATTGGTTGTTGATACTGTTCTTTAACTGATGTTTTATATTCTTAATGGGTTTATGTGTTTTTCACTGATACTGTGTTGTAAGTTTTTGTTGTTTTCCATCTCAATCCATAGAAAGCGATGAATAAAAATTAATCATCATCATTGCTGTCTGGTTGAAGCCTTGCCTTCTTTCCCAGAGGAGGCAGAACATCTTCAAGATAGCCAACCTCCTCACCCCTCCAAAACAGAGAAACATTATTTAAAACAAAGAACATTTATATTTATATGCATAAACTCAAATTACATTGGGCTACTGACCTGTCCTACTTATCTGAACTTAACAAGATTGGCCACTAGCAATGTAGCTTTGAATCTGTCTGTAACTTGGCCTTGAAATTGTGCCAGTGGTGAGACTGGGAGCAAATTGCTATCAACATGCTTTAGCTGATGAAAGCACCCATTCCTGTAACTACAAGTGAATCTCAACAGATCACTGCAGTCAATTTTTTTTCATGCTCTGAAATGGAAAAGGGGAACACTAAGAAAAGAGTGAGAGAAAAGGGAAACTCTTCTTTTAAGTCTTGTTTCTCAATAAAGCCATAATCCAAATAAAAAAGGATTCAAATTTATAGCAGCCATCATATTTGTGCTCTTTCTGAATTTGCATTAAAATTTGGGCCAGAGATTCACTCAAGACAAATCAGAGCATCAGATTATTTCATACTAGGTGGCAATGAATACCTTTCTTATGATTGTTTTAGATTGTTTTCATGCCTATTAAGCTCCTGTATGCTAGAATTGGCAAGTGACAGCAATGCCACAGATTTTACAGATGAATGCATTATGTACTGTTATACAGATCTGTAATATCCCCTTGTCTCCTCTTCTGATATTTTCACATAAGTCTGCCAACACATCAGCAATATTCCCCATTCTTAAAAGCTCATCTGACAGTTTACACTATTTGACATATTTCCCATTTAGACAAAATATTTGCTTCCGAAGTCTCTAACATCTATTATATTTGCAACACAGAGAAAATTCTGGTTTACATTGTCTACCCACTCAACTTAAATGCTTCAGAGATTGAATACAGAATCAAATGTTGTTCCTTTTTATATAAATCATCTCTCCATCTTTTAACACCAAACTGCTGAAATGAAGAGGAAGGCTCTCAATTTCTGAATGGTTCTTATAGGATCGTAAAACAAATTAGTTTGAGATGAAAGTAGTCATTATAGATCTTTTCTTTTCCTCAGTTGAATGTTACAGTGGTCATAAAGCTGCCTATATTCTAGCATTTCCTGTCCCTTTTAATGCTTAGTGTCATATTATTCCCAATCATAAATTATTTAGAAAATGATGAATTTACATGGAATTTCCAATTCTCTAGAAATTCTAATTCCTGATTTTCTTGTTCCTATAATGACAGGAACTGGCAGTGCATATAATCCATAGGCAGGAGAGGGGAGCACTGAATTCTTCTGAGCAGTTCCTAACTTCTATCATTAGATCGTGCTTAAGCCCCAGATTACTGAGAGCGGTGCCAACCAAAATCTATTTCCTGCATCCACCCTCTCCTGAAAGATTTCAATGTGAAATGATTGTAAACAGTTTATGATATTCCCAGTGCTATGCCCACAACATTTTGGGCCAACCAGTCCCACCCTAATAACATACAATACATTCAACAACAGAAAGACTTTTTAAAGGCAATAGGTTAAAAAAAATCTGTAAACTGGATTCCTTTCCAAACACACAAATTAATACAAGTACTTTCTATAGTCTCTTGTTTTTCACCCTGAACAATATACCTGAGTTTTAGCAGTTTATGAAAGTTTCATTTCCCTCAAACAGAGTTTCTTTAAATGTTCAATGAAGTCTCTGGTCATACAAAAGTAATCAAACTGAGATGCTCCTTCTGTGTCACTGAGACAGCTTGCAGAGGTGGCTCAGAGCAAGAGAGGCTTCATGTTAAAAGAAAGCTACCGAGGTACAGTATTCCACCAGACCTTGGAAGTCAAACCTTGCTGGGAAAGAAGATGATGGTAGAAAGAATGTTCCATTTATCCCTTATCCAGTCACATGTGGCTCTCATCTTCATCAAATCCTTCCCTCCTTAGACTAGCTCTAAAGAGAAAGAGAAACATTACCTGTTTCAGAATGATTTTTTTAAAGCTGGTCCACTAGACAGTATATTCAGTATGTGAAGCCATTTAACATGTCAGTAGGGTTTTAAAACAAATACCAACTGTGCAGTCAAATTATGAGGAGTGTCCCTTCTAGGGCAAGGGAATAGCAGATTTGGGGAGATGGATTTAGGGAAAGAAAAAATTGCATGTAGGGAAGGTTTTGAAAAAATTCCCCTCAACTTCTTCATATTTCTATTCTCCAAAGGAAAAGCAACTCTATCTTGATTCTCAGTTTTCCCCAGAACTATTATCACCTCATTCTGCAACCGAAATGAGAACTGCTAAAGATGTTCCTACATTCAGGCCTCCATTCTATTGCTTGCACCAATTACAATAAACTAATTGAACCAATGGAAACTCGGTAAAAACAACATTCACATGACTTAACAAGTCTACTGTTGTTGGGACTTGCATGTAGTCCTTAGACTCCCATTACATGTTAACTTGTCAGGAAGAAAAACTTCCTGGTATGATCAGTTTACAAATGGCTCCTCTCAATCTCTTTCCACTTAAATTACATAACATTACACATCATTCCCGTCTGACAATAAGCAAACATAGTACACCAATTTGTGCTCTTCATTAGCACTTACTTGATCTAGAGGCAACACTGGTGGTTTTTGTGGTGGCAGCTCTTCCCGTGCTGGTGCAGGCACCTTTGGGAATGGGACTGGTGGGTGGTGCATATGCATTCTGGAATCACATACAATGGAGAAATCACTTTAAAAACCACATGTTCTTTTGCATGCATCTAAAAACATACACCCATATGCTACAAATGCCTTTGGTACAGAGGGTGACATCTGGGTTTGCTCCCACTTTAATCCTGCAATGTTCCCACTCGATTAGACTTGCGTAATATCAGAGGTTAACAGTAAATGGATTTTTATGTAACAGATTAAAATAAATTAGATAGCAATTCTTTTGTCATGCTGAATATATGAATGGACCACAAATTAAACAAAATTTAAACAATCTCTTCTCTCTATGTAAATACTGTATTTCCTTAATTCTAAGAAACACTTTTTTCCCTACATAAACAACTAAAAAAATGGAATGCATCTTAGAATCTCAGCTATATCTTATATATTTTTGTCGGTGAAAGTGGTACTAAAATCAGGGTGCACTTGACAATCAATTGTGTCACATAAAGCAGCGCTTTGACTGGAAATTGATTGGCAAGACGATATATATGAGGATACAGTTTTATTGTTCTATTAATGGGTTTGTGGACTGAGTATTGTTTTTAATTTAATGACTGTTATGATAAGTTGGTTATAATTAATTGCTATTGTTTTAACTCTGTATGTATTCATAGTTTTATACTGTGTTATTGATTTGTGGCATCAAATTGCTGTCTTTGTTAGCCGCTCTGAGTCCCCCCCCCCCCCGGGTTGAGAAGGGCGGGTTAAAAATGCTGTAAATAAATAAATAACAAATAAATACACTGGATAGGAAAACAAAGACTGATAAAAAAAGATTTAGCAATGTAAGAACCTTCCACAATAAGAACTAGAGCCACGGTCTCTGTCAGTATGAAGTACATTAACACTCTCTCCCAAAACAAAAAGCCCTGATGAGTTCACTAAATGAAAGAAAAATCATTGTAAGATCATGATCCATGGTTTCACTTCCCTGCCCTGTTGCCAAAAGTGTTTGTGGACCTCTCCAGGTCCTCCAGAAAGATTCAATGGTTTGCTTCTAACTCAAGTACAATTAAAATATGGGACTACCTATTATTCCGGTATCCATGGGGAAGTTTGTGTGTGTTGGAACATATCCCCCATGGATATGGAGTTGTACTGTATTGTGCAATGTTTCTCATCATGACAAGATCCAACTGCCTGTGCTTCAAATGTTATTTGTGAAGCTCTTTCACAAATGCTAATGTTGTCTGAAGCTCTTTAGTTGCTTGAAATGTTACGGTTTGAGTCTTACATTTGACAGCAACCACCTCCCTCTTTCTGCTCCCACCTTCCTGTCCCATAGTCTTACCCTGGTGTTCTATACAGATCTGTAGAGAGTCCACCCAGGCCTCCTCCACGTCCTGTCTGTTCCATCACTAAGGCCTGGAAGTGGCCTACATTGTCTTCTTGGCAACGATACAAAGATCCTTCATGAACAAGACCATTAGGATGGCTTGTGGGCGGATGAGATGACAAGCATGTATTCACTGATGATCCATAAGCCCTAGGCTGGAAGTGACTGGCTGGATGTCGTGATGCATAAGATGGCCCTGTTTGTAACATGACACCATGATGTGGGAAAGCAGATGGGCCAAATCCAAGCCCTGAAGAGTTTATGGGTGGTGGGGGAGAACCATACAAGTACTCTCCTGCTGCAACTGATCTCTGTCTCTTGGTGGCTGCATTATGGTTGTCCAAATCAAGGAATTCTTTAGGACTCTCAGGCCTTTCTTGAGACTCCTCTGGTTTCTCAGTCTCCGATGGCAGCTCTTGCCCACTGCTTGGAATGTCTTTGGTGGCTGTCGTGTCTATTCGGTTTGGGGAAGCCACAGCTGTACTAAGTACTTCACAACCCTGCATGTCCATGGTCCTTCTGTCTGAGAAAGGAGGCCTAGCCAGAGGTGACTGTGCATGTGGCTGTCCAACAGGACTTGACTGGGGTGGAAATGGCCTTTGCCATTCTGAGTAACCTTGGGGACAAGTATAGTAAGGAGGCTGTTGGTAATGGTGATAAGAAGGAGGAGGTTGTGCCTGGTATGGGTATGGAACTCCCTGGTGGGGACGGTAACGAGGAAAAATACCATGGCTGCCATTATTGGGCTGAAGACCCCGAGCAGAAAAATGTTGTGAGTGGGACACTGAAGTGGACTTCCCTCCCACCATAGGACGGAATCCCTGCAATCCTGGATTGATGTGGTACTGTGTGGGTGAATTTGGATCCTCCACATTGGGCATATAGAATGGGGCAAACTGACCAGAGGTGCCTCCCACTGGATTTCCATCTATACCAACAGGTACACTGGTTCCCTGTCCAATACAAGGCACAGTTGTTTCCAAATGGTTTTTCCCCATAGTGCAACGGGGAGTCTCCATTATATTTGTAGCCACTGTTTTCCCTTCTGCACCACTGGACGGCCCTTCGCCTACAGCACCATTTTCAGGCACAGGTCCTCTCTCTGTTGCTGTTACAACATCCCGCACCTGGGCTACTGTGTTTGTATAGTTACTTTCCGACGGCCACATGCTCTTGCTCTGTGTTGCTTTTGGATCATTTTTAGTTTCAGAATCATCCCCCTCCCCTTCCTGTGTCAAGTTCTGCCTAGAAAAATCCATTTGCAAATGTGGCTTGGAATGAGGTAGCAGCTTGGGGTAAGTTCCTTCAGAAAGGCCAATACATTGAGTTTTCTTTTCAATTCCTGGTGGAGGTTCCACTGTACAAAGGGAATTGAAAACAAATAGAAGGCATTGATAAGTTATATCATATATGGAAAAAATCACTCAAATCTTTTTCATTTTAGGAACGGACAACAGTAGTCAGCTGTTATATGGCTATTCTAAAGCCCAAAAGCAATATAGTATTGTGAAGGAAGCATTAAGCAATCGGCACCAAGGTAGTCAATCATAACTCAAGGAAGCAGAAAGGGGGGAACAGAACCTATGAAAAGGCAAAGGCTTGCTTCTATGAGTATGATGTGGGATTGAAGTTGACCCAAACTGATTTGATCTGGTGGGGGGAGGTTGAAGCTGAATCAACAAGGGATCTGGATTGGAGAAAAAGGGAGAACTACCTATGGTGTTGTGGTGCTTAAATAACAGATTATTAGAGGTTATTATATTTTTCTACTACATTTAACAAACCTATTCTTGTTGTTATAAACCTGTCTCTAGCTATCAAGTCAGTATTGTAATCAGGCCACACATACCATAAAGAATTCACACAATAACACAGCCATAAGTCTACGTTTAAGAGTCACACTGAACCCCAATAAGGAAGGGGATAATTCACAAAAGTATCAACCACATTTTATGAGATAGATTGGGTTCATTTCATGTTCATGTTAACCAGTGTTTGTGCTTTACAACATGCAATGTTGAACCATGGTAAGAGTGGGCCAATACAATGTGCATGAATACACAAACTTTCAAGATTTAATTTTTTTTCTGTGTCAGGAGCGACTTGAGAAACTGCAAGTCACTTCTGGTGTGAGAGAATTGGCTGTCTGCAAGGACATTGCCCAGGGGATGCCCAGATATTTTATCATTCCGTGGCAGGCTTCTCTCATGTCCCTGCATGAGGAGCTGGTGCTGACAGGTGGGAGCTCACCCTGCTCCCTGGATTCAAACCACTGATCTTTTGGTCAGCAGTCCTGCCAGCACAAGGGATTAAATCACTGCACCACCGGGGCTCCATTAAGAAGGTAAGGACTTATCTGCTCACACTCTTTCCTATTACACAAACTTAAGCAACTTTAACATCAAGTAACATCATTACTAGAGCACATTTTTAACACATAAATCCCGGATTGAAGCCTTGATATTGCAATATTTTCTATGCTTGTTTATCTTTTATATGTTGACTGTTAATGAAGTTTAACGCTAGAAACTATATTTAACATAAACTATCTCTATATCAATAGATCATTACTCCAGAGGTGACCAGAAGATTTAGATGGGAGTGTGTGATTCCATAGCCTTCTGGCTGGAACTTAATTACCAGTTATTTACACATACATTTATAAACAAATCTGTAATATAATAGAATATTCTGTGGTAACTTTCAAGATTTTGCTTCAAAATAAAAAAAATGGAGTCAGAATAGGAAAAACTGCAACAGCGTGTACCAGACTTGCATAATCTCCCAAAATCTTGTTCATTGATCATGTTAGCTAGAACTGTTGGGAACTGAAACCCAACATATTTGTCTTCTATTGTGCTGTACTTAATAATGCCCTGATCTGTTATTCAATGTACTGTTTACAGTATGTTCTATGCCATAGTTTAGATTAGTATCTCATACATATGAACGTTTTCTGTGAAAAAACACTACAAAGGAAGAGCCCCTAATATAACTCATTGACCATAAAGAACAGCTGTCTTTGACTAGGCACAGATTATTGTGTTTAAGAGATCAGAAAGTACCACAGAAAACAAATGGACCTTATTTAGTTTGGCTGAAGGAAAAGCCATGTTTGCTTTAGTAAAGTAAGGATATACAATTACCTCCATTGTCTTCTGGCTCTGCTGTCTGAGTGGTATCCTGAGAATTTCCATTCCCTAGAATTGGTTTTGGAGATTGAACATTTGTAGTTGCCACATGGGCCAGTTGTGGAAATGGTCCTGGTAAGTGTGGGGGAGGAGGCTGGCGAGGGTGATAAGGCACACCAGGTGGGCATACCCGGGAGGACAGCTGCTGCATAGCAATCATTTCTGGACTGTCCATCATGGAATCCCCACCCTGAGCCCCTCTCTGCATTTGAGGTGCAGGCCCAAATAAAGAAGGTGGAAGTTGCTGTTGCATTCGCTGACCAGGGCTTTTTCCTGGTTGTCTAATATATCCTGAGGGTGGAGCTCCATGAGGTAGGAAATTGGCTTGCTCAGTCCACTGATTAGATGGCAAAGGTGGTCTCAATGCTCGCGATTCCATCATGTGGCTCAAAGCATGAGGTGGCAGAGGGGGGCATGGACCCATTGGAGATTTCTTATCTATGCCTAGTGCCATCTGGTTTGCTGCATCATGGCTTCCATTCCACACAGCAGGATGTGCGTGGTTAAAATATTTATAAGGTCTATACATATGGCTAGGGCGAGGTTCTGAGGTCTCTGGTTGTCTCACAGGGGGTCCATTGTGCCTTGGAGAAATAAATCCTTGCTGGAACTGAGCAGGTGAGTACATATTGGCCTCTGAGGGAGGACCATTCATTCGGCCAAACTGCAGGGATCCAGGTGGTCCTATTGTGGAGACGTGCATTGGCCCAGCACATACTTGCTTCTCTGAAACAGTAAGCTGATGTCCTCTGGGATCATTCAGTCCAACTGCAGGCTGAAGGAGGAAATAGGAAAAAAAAGGAAGATTCAATTTTTCATAAATATTGAACATGTCACAGAAACAATCAAGCACCCAAATTCTGAACAAGAATGTAGGATGTCTTGTTTTTGATCACTAAACAACTAATGTAGATTACAACTGTGTACTAAGTGCTCGGCAAGGTGTTAAAAGAAGGTGATTACCTCTCAATCTAGATAGCTTTGATGGAAGCTTACTACTGTATTTAGACCTGTTCCTGTCTGGATTTAGGCCTAAAACTGGGACGAAAACAGGGTTTGTCAATCTCATGTTGACATTCACATGAGATTCAAAACATAATGATTAAAATCTGTTCAGACTGGTGAGCACGAAACAGGACCTCCATAGATCTTGTCTCTTTGATTTAAACTTAGTCCGATCAGGACAGACACTTTAGAATGTATTGCTTCAGAAGAAGACTTTTAGAATGTATTGCTTCAGTGTTGGGTTTAAAAAAAATATGAATGGCTTTTGTGATTCTTACCTTGATGTTTGCTTTTAGCAGATAAAGGACAAATGAAGATTGTGCTCTTCCCACTTGTTCCAGAAAAAAGAAAGACCTTACATCTTTTGTCTTAAGCCTAATTGAGACTGTGGAAGGGGAATGATAGCTCCTCTTACTTTGATCTCAACAATTTTTGTGGCTTGCAGCCTTCCAACTTAAAAAAAATAGTTCTTCAATTCTGGTGTATGTAATGCACATAATTCCTGTCCCTTGGTCCTTCCTATCTGTTTGTTTATTTTTGTCTAAAAGGTTCATTAGGCAGGCCCGAGCTTTTTAAATCTCAGGCTTCCATTTACACTTGTAGATGGAAGCTTGGGAGATAATCCATTTCATACCTGTATGGCAAAGTGCTGGTGCTGATGACCTGGGTCACCAGGATGTGGTTCTGGTACTCGAGGTGATCCATATGGTTTTGTTGGATTTGATACATGCAGAACACTAAATGTCCCAGGTACTGCTGGCCTCTGCACAGGAAGACAGAAGTCACCAGTGAGACTTAGTAGGAGGTATGGTATACAAAACTACTATCTTGGCTACTCCTTTACAACTTTTGTCAAAAAAATTATATTATCTTAGATTGCTGGGTTGGTACTCACCACCTGTCCTGGATGAGATATGCGACTGGGCATTCCACCATAGTGGTGTGAATGCAAGAAGCCTCGGCCATTGGAAGAGGCCACTTCTCCAGGGGGCAGACTTGAGCTGCTACTTGGATCCTCTGCAGACAAGAAAGGAGAAGAGGAAGAAGCAGAAACTCTATGTTTTGCCTTATGAGGTGGAAGTTTTCCTCCATTTTGTATATGCTGCTGTTTCTTGCCGGACCCTTCAGAGTCCCTTGATCGAGTCCATACATTTCCTGTACTAGAACGTATAGTCCGACGGCTTCTTTTCTCACGCTTCCCATCTTCTCTAATCCAGAACTCATCATCTGTATCACCATCTTCTCCGGGGAAATGCTTCATCATTGCCCGGTGGAAGCATCTTTCTAAGTTATAAGCCATTTTAGTGTATTCTGTATTCAGACAAGCAAATAGAAGAAAATTAGTTTCACAGGCAGAAGAACTCTGAACATTTATATATCTCCTTTGTTTAGAGCTAGCACTGAAATCGAACTATACTTTCTCTGTGCTTTGACTAAAACAAAAGAAAAAGAAATATATTATCAAAAGCTGGAAAAGAGTGTGTAATGACTGTAGAATCTAGTCGTCACACACAATTTCAGACTGTGAACCCCAATGTTAAAAAGAAAGCTATGATTCTAAGAATGTAAATCCTGTGCGAGAGAAGATTCATTTCTAGTCTAATGGTAGCACAGAATAGGACCAGAACTTGCAGGGTGAAGAAAATAATAAAAAACAAGACTCCTAATGGTTAAAAGATTTGAATTTAATGTGCAATAATGGCCTAAATCCAATTGCTAACCTTGACCAGAGCAGACAAATTGAATCAACTGCTGAAAGGTAAGGCAATGCTTATGTAAGTCCCACTAGTTGCATGGGTTTACTCTAGTTGGAACCAAGTAATGGATTTAGATCTTTCTCCACAACTAATAGCCCCAGGTTCTCTTGCTTCTTGTGGTGTCTTCATTCTCTGCCATTCTAACCCATACCACAGTGAAGTTTTGGGTCCCCCACCCCGCCAACTTTGGAAGCAGAATAAACTGTGCAAATACACTTCCTTTAATTTTCATATTTGTTGTAAATGAAGAATCGTTGGCTTCTCTTCTTGTATTTCCCATCCACGCCAGGAGCTTTCTAACTAACTGTATGCAATTGCTGGATTTCCTTTTCAAAAGCTTACCACTGTTTTCACCGTTATATTTAAGGCAGTTCCTGAACATGATCTTCATGTCACCCATAAATTCTTCCTTAGTGTAGTATTGACCTGCATTTAGCTTCTTCTCCATGCTAGAGATATCCATGGGAGCCTGAAAAGTATCACAATATTTCAGGCTACGTAACTGACTTTCAAAGTGATGTACATCCTTAAACAGGTCCTTTCATTCCTTATAAACAATGAGTAAAATTCCATAATATTATCAACAATCCAGTTTACAGAAAATAAAAACAAGATCACAGGCAATGTATTATATGTCTGCTTACCTTAATTATCTGGTAATAATTTGGGGCATAAGATTCATCAACAGGCTCCAAGAATGGCCAGGAATCCTTGTGGGCTTTCACCACATCGAGAACTGTCAGCAGCAAAAATATGGGAAACTGTTACACATTAATATGGGGTGCAAATACTACCAAACCAAACAAATATACAACGTTAAGACTTGGAATAAAGACTGACCTTTGTACATGGCAGTGAACTCATCATCCAATTCAAAACTGCAAAGTGAAAATGCAAAAATGAATACATAAACCTTCAAGTTTCATCTTTATTCAAATTTTAGCATAAATTTCTTAATACTGAACATTCAATTCAGATACAGATTTTTCCAAGTAATGTCATCTTTTTATTGTCATGAAGGACCAAGGCACTGATATCTTCGGCTCATCCTCTGTTTGGATATCAGCCAGAATGCCAATGTCTGCTTTGCTAGAAACTCGAACACGGGACAGATATACTAGCAGGAACACCTCAGCAAGCGAGAGTCCACAAGTGGCAGGATAAAACCCAAAACCTCAATCAGTGACTGATACCAAATGAGAGACTCCCTCCTGGGCACACCGAAGATTGAGTGACCTGGAAGGCGCTGAACAGGCTGTGCTCTGGCATCATGACATGCAGAGCTAACCTGAAGAAATGGGGCTACAAAGTGGAGTCCATGACATGCAAATGCGGAAAAATCAAACTACAGACCACCTACTACAATGCAGTCTGAGCCCTGCCACATGCACAATGGAGGATCTTATCACTGCAACACCAGAGGCACTCCAAGTGGCCAGCTTCTGGTCAAAGGACATTTAGCATAATGCCAAGTTTTTAACTTTGTGTTTTTAAATACATTATAACTGTATTTGCTTCTGACATGATAAAAAATAAATTCTCATGATTTGGCTTTGACACAGTGTAATTTCCTGCAGCCCTCCTTCTTACCCCTGCATAAAAAATGACAATCAACTGCTTCATATGGATTCTGAAGTTCAATGCAGTATACTTACAGGTCTTTGGTCTTCCTTTCATCCCTAGTGGGTGAGCTGGGATCCAAGTGAGAAAGTTCAGGAGGAAGCTCTTTTCCCTGGGCTAGCAACCATGCCCGTTCTTCTCTGAGCTTCCTTCTTTTGGCTCGTTCTGCAAATTGAGAGCAAGCCATTACATTATAAAGAAATCCACCTCATGAAAGCCAAAAGTGTCAGTCACCTACATATTCAGGTGATTTGTATTTCTGGATCTCATTGTATTGTTTTTTTTAAAAAAAAGAAGCATAGCTAAGGCAATTCAAGTGGATTTTTCTGTTGCTATTCTATTTCTGATGTTTCATCACTTCCTACGCACCAATTACTATACAATACCATGAACCAGAGCCACTGATTGTCTTAGTCTAGTCTATAACATAATCTTTTCTAGCAGAATATTTCAGAAGGATTCACACCACATATAGATGCCAGTAGTTACTATTTCCACTCCTGATTAGGTAGGAAGACATATTCAGGTGTTGTGTAATTCTGATCAAGTACACCTGCAATGGATGAGGAATGCACTAAAGTGTCTGTCTGTCCCCCACCCATCTCCCCCAGCCCCATGCTGGATAATCTAAAGGGCAAAGCCTCCTCTATTCTTGGAGATTCTTCATGTGATTAGGACCCTTGAAAAAGAATTCAGATACAGCTCTCGTTTATAGATGGGTGGAAGACAAGGCAACCAATATAGCTTATCACTTTGTACAAAGTAATAAGCAACTGGTGTAAAAAATACGCAGACCTAGAACATGATTAATTTTACCCTCCCAGTTTAAATTTCTGAGCAAGTTCCATGCAATTATCCTACCAGAAGAAAACATTCCATCTATTCAATCCTCATTTGGGCGCTAACTCTCAGTGGTTACATATCCACCTCTCCTCATGCAAGACAATCATTTCCAAATTCAGTCCATGCGGCCCTATATAACAAATAGCATTTCTTTACACAGAGGTGATTGACATGCCTTCTACTGCTTTGACCTTCTCTTCCATTTCTCGTCTCCTCTCTTCTTTCAACATTTGTTCCTGTTCCCTTTTCTGAACTGCCAGAAGGATCTGACGCTCCTCCTCTTCTTCTTTCCGTTTCTGCTTCTCTGTTCTGCTAAACACCATTGGGGTCACCTGCAGAAAGAAAAACATCAATTTATATGTTTATTAAATGTATATCCTGCTTTTCCTACAAGATGCACCCGGTTCTCCCACTTGTACTTTCCTCAATACCCGTTATGCTTCCAGGGAATTTGAACCCAAATCTTTCCAGTCCTAGTCTGGCACATTAATCACTACTGTATACTTGGTCTCCACTTATGACTTTATCACTTGAAATTATAGTAAACTCTTGAAATAAGTTTAGAATCCTTTGAAATCCTTCAAATAAAATAGGGAAGAGATTTTTCATATGATCATTTTTCCAGTTGCAAACTTCTGTTCTACACAAGAAAAAAGTATTTATTTTTTGAAATTTATCAAAGCAATAGGAAATAGGAAAGGAGAATTATAAGATAGTGTGTACAAGGAAGTTGTGCTGAAAGCAGAAACAAAATCAGTCAATGTAAATCCTACAGTTTATCTAATTTGAGGTTTTCTTCATATTTTGGAGTGCTGAGGATAAACTAGTATTTCTTATTATTTGAACCCTGTTGTAGTTAAATAGATGCCAAGATGCTACAGAGCCTTCAATGTAAGAGCTGACAATACTTCTACTTCTGTTCACAAAGTCAATTATATTATTTGCCATTATTAATGAACTTACATTTAAACATCTATCAATACATCTATCACATTTGCAGAACTGTATAATACAGAAAAGAGCATGATATGTGTTTCTGTAGCTTCCTTTCCTTCAGTCCAAGATTAGAAACAGCCAAGTCTTGTTCTGTTAAAGTGGTAAACTTGCCTCTGGCTTTGCAGGAGGAAGAATAATATACTGGAATGTGTCTCTAATCCCTCTCACCCCATATCCTACCTATAAACACATAGCATGCCAAGTAGAAAGCTAAGCTACAACTTTTTTTCCTCTTATATCATTTCTCACTACAGGTGGAAGTTCTGTAGCTGAACACCTCTTTCATATAAAAAACTGCTGCAGATATGTGGAAGCAGTCACTAAAGCCTCTACCTCCAGGCAGAAATACAGTATAGATGTTTCCTCTCTTGCTGAAAACTAAGGCTTTGACACAATGCATTTTGTGAGAATTAATGATCAAATGGAACATCTTACTGCCCTTCAGGTCTCACCCTATCATTAATCCAGAGAAAATGCTTGCATCGTTGTCATGATTGCTTTATTTTTTCCCCACAAGCAAGCAAATGGGACTTCGGGGTACATTAACAAATGGTTGGCATGACAGGCTAGCTTCCACCACAGATACCCTAAGTGCGTCTACATTTGTGTTGAATATTTAGCAATTTCCTTCAGTAATGCTCCTTAGAGAATTGTCTGACATCATCTCCAAACTTCTGTCACCAGCAACTGCTGTGCATTAAGGAATTTACCGCAGACCCCATGTTCTTTTCTCCAAGAGCACAATATTCCATTTAGTTAAGCATTTAAAAATATTACGAGCTTGGGGTTGCTTTATAATATGCCAGTTTCTGAGGGGGGAAAATGAAAGCAGGATAGAGAAATGAATTCAAATACCTACTTTTCATATCAGAATGTAGTCCTTTGACTATTGCGATACACACTAGACTGAACTTGTATGTAACTGGTATTTCAACGGTACCCAATCAATCCACAGAAATATATCCCAAGAGGATAATTTACAGAGAGCCATTAAGAATGAAGAGAACCGTATTATTGAGTCTACTACTTTTGTCTGACCATCCATGGTATTGTTTATGTGGAATTTATTTATATGTTGTAGTATCTGAACAGTAGCAATTGAGTCGCCCTCGACTGAGAATGGCGGTATAGAAGCGTAGTAAATAAATAAATAAAATAAGAAAATTAAAATTGCTTAAAGTAAACAACCTATATATGGACTGGCATTCATAGGGAATTTTTACCCAAAATGTTTGTATTTCTTGAACATGTTTTGTTTAAAATTTTGATGATTATATAGAACTAGTGTGAACAACTGACCAGCGGTGGGGGGTCAGCTAAGATGGCAAAAAGACACATTCTCTTTAACTAGCCCACAATCTAAATTCCACATGAAAAAGAATCAAATTTGACAACCTGAAAATATATTCAATACATTTCCTTTTTTTTTCTTTTATCTAAGATTGGGGAGTGACAAGGAGCTATACCGCCTTGTGAAGATAACCTATGCCTACTCCTATCATGTTAAAGGCAATAACTCAACAAATCTATTGCTTATGAACACATAACGTTGGTTGGCTTCTGCATAATCAAACTATTGTTCTATCTAGCTAAAACTGTTCAACAATTTCAATCCATAGATCCATTTCAATTTGGCTTCAGGCTGGGTCATGGGATGGAAAAGGCTTTGGTCACCTTGGTGGATGATCTTCGGGGGTAAATGGACAGGGAGAGTGTGACCCTGCTGGTCCTTCTAGATCTCTCAGTGGTGTTCAATACCATAAACCATGGTATCCTTCTGGAGTGCCTAGTGGGGATGGGACTTGGAGGAACTGCGTTGCAGTGGTTTTGGTTCTTCCTCCCAGGTCATCTCCAGAAAGTGGTATTGGAGGAGTTTTATTTATTTATTTATTTGCTTTACTTCTATACTGCCTTTCTCTCAACACCAAGGCCTGTGGGCTGTGGGGTCCCGCAAGTCTAATCATTATCCTCAATTGTTTAACATCTACAATGACCACTGGGACAGATCGGTTTGAAGTTCGGTACCATCTGTATGCAGATGATTCCCAACTCTACTACTCGTTTCCACCTGAAACCAAGGAAGCAGTTCCGCACCTGAACCATTGCCTGAGCGTGGTAATGGACTGGATGAGGGCAAACAAATTTAATCTCAATCCAGTAGGGAAATTGCAACTGGTCCAGTGTATGGCTGCCAGACTGCTCATCAGAGCTGATTTCAGGGAACACACCACCTGGCTTCTGAGTCAGCTCCACTGGCTCTCAATTCATTTCCAGGCCCAATTTAAGGTGCTGGTTTTAACCTATAAAGCCCTGCATGGTTTCAGTCCAGGATACTTGAGATAGCATATCCTACCATATAAACCAGCTAGTTTCCTAAGATCAAATAGCGAAACACTCCTCTCCATTCAGGTCAGAGACTGTCGTCACGTAAAATTGTCTAGAGAGGGCACTTCTGGGGTGTGGTACTTAAACTATGGGGTGCTCTGCCAGAAACTATCAGTGCAGCCCCCCCCCCCCTTCTTTAGGAAAAACCTGAAAACCTTCCTGTGTGGAATAGCTTTTAATTAGGATTAACAAAAGCTTAAGAGCTGCATTTAAATCATATTTTATCTTCTTGGGAATTTTAAATGGCTTTATTATTTAATGATAATTTTACGACCGGAACTGAGGGGGAATTTCTACCCTTTTTAATTGTTTATTTTATTTATGTTTAACTGCTGATGTAAACTGCCTTGAGTCTTTGGAGAAAGGTGATATAGAAATTTCCCAAATAAACAAACAAATAAATAATAAAGTATTTATAATTAATCCTATTATTATCCTTTCTCATCTAAAATCACACCAACCACTCTATTGAAGAACCTTATCCCTACTGTGAGAAAGAAAAGGGCTATTTATTCTTCATGGTATATTTTAAGGACAATCAGCCTCACTGGTCTTTCCTCTCAATTGGCAGCTGGTCTTTTTAACAAGATCTTTGCCAATACAATATATGCATACAATGTCATCTGTGCCTGGCTATTCTGGAGTTATGTGACATATATACCTGTGATATATATACCTGTGCAAATGCTTTGATAAACTTGCCCACCTTACAACTCCAGAGTGGAGAGAAGGACAGCCTGTACATCACACATGCTAGAGAGTAACACCACACTCGTTTGTTATAACCTACCTACAGTTAGTTTGGCTTAGCTAAAATACAGAACAGACTATATTACAAAAATGTATTGCCCACTACAGCATCCTTTCTAGCTTTGGGGGAGATGGGATACTCCAACGACTTTTTGTAATAGTGATTCTTCACAAAGTAGGTATGCTCCAAATGCATATTAAGGCAGGAGGGAGATTCAATTGATAGCGCTTGTTAGTTCTCATTGTCTGCAGTTCAGCATCATTCCTTTGTTCAAGAAAACATTCATATCAAACCAATCATACCTGGCCACAGGTGATCACCTATAGTAGTATAAATGTTGGGCCCACCCCATTTAAAAAACAGAGGAGAAAAAACAGAAATAATGTAAGGTTTGAAGTTTTTGCACAACCCCATTAGGCTTTGGGTCCAAAGTCTACATGTAACTGCATTTCAAATATCTGTCCTTTATCCTTTTGCACTTTGTTAGTTGTCTTCCAATAAAATTCAAGCACTTTAGAGTATGGATCTGTCTTTGTTGATATTTCTCAGCAAAGGTTCATGAACATCACGGTGTTATTCAGAGGTGCCTACTGATATTTTTTTTTGGTGAAATATTAATTTAGGTCCAGCTATTTTTAAAGTTTCCTTGAATTAAGCCAAAAAATACTCAGGAACAGGTTTAAATCAGTTGAGATTTTTTTTTAAAAAATCTCTGTTTGAAGCAAGGAAATATACTTAGGAACAGGTTCAAATCAGTCATGATTTATCCCTTAAAACAAAACCCTGCTCTTTTAAATATAAATATAGGAAATAAATTTAAATATAAATATAGGAAATAAATTTAAATATAAATATAGGAAATAAATAAAATAAATGTTGTAAAAATGAAACAGAAGCATTTCCATGACTCAAATTGGAGAAATGCATGGCAGCTGTAGTAGAATAGCAGTTTCTGACAGAATGTAGGGGAGGATTTGTTCATCTGCAGCTTTACTAACACACAATGCACATGCCTGCAGTAGAGGGCACTATGGGCTGCTTCTGACTCTGCCTTCTGCGTTGTCTTCTCTCATAGCCAGTTTCTCAAAAAGAACAAATGCTTTCTAAGTCTTCAAGTTGTGCAAAACAATCTGCCTTACTCTTTCCTCAGATATTATGCAGCCCCTGTCCCTTCATCTCTTCCCCTGTGTTATCCCTACAAAGATTTCCGCAGCTTCTCCTTAATGAAGGTGCTGCTCAAATGGTTTTTAATGAGGAGATAATCTGAACCACCTGTTTGAGAAATACCCTGAAAGATTAGAAGCCCACAGGACAGTCACATCAAAGATTTAACTACACCCACATCTCAGAACTAGGAAGGAAGAGGTCATTCCAAAAATATGATACAGGCACAAAAACAACACAGTTTTTGTATTACCATTGCAGGCTTCCCAACTTTCCTGCCATCAGGTCCTGGCAATCCTTCCAACTTAAAGAGACCCATATGTGCAACTGCAAGGACAAAAAGCAGTTGGCATTCTACTTCTCTGGTATGTTTATCAGTAACATCCATAGTAACTGCTGCATTTCCCTCTGCACACATCTTCACCATTCAAGCGAAAGGCTGAAAATATGGACATGATACTTTAAAAGAGCTCTGACAGACAGGCAGGAATTAATCTATGTTACAGCAAACTTGCTGCTGATTGACATCCATCTGTTTCCTTGAATCTGTATTTGCAGTTTTGTAGCCTGCACACGATTATGTGCAATTACACTTCACTGATATTTTTGTTAAACTTATATCAGAAATAATGCAGTTGTATACACTCTTCTACTTAAGCTTCTCTGTACAAAGAATAGAAGGTGCCTCTTAGGAGGCAGACATAGGGATGCTTTGTTTTACTGTGATTAACATGAGATAGGATTACCACCACATACTGACTTTTCTCAAAAAGTCATATTGAAAGATCCATAGAATCACAGTTAGAAGAGACCACTAGAGCCACTTAGTCTCTCCCCCTGCGATGTTGCGCTCACAACAGATGGTCATCCGGCCTCTGCTTAAAACTTTAAAAAAAGGAGACTCCACCACATACCAAAGCAGCAGACCCCACTGGCAAACAGCTTTTACCACCAGGAAGTACTTCCTAATGTTTAGGTTAAATCTCTTTTCCTGCAAATCCACTGTCCCATGTTCTAGTTTCTAGCACAGCAGAAAACAAGTTTACCCCCTCCTCAATATCAGATCGTTTCAAATATTCAGACATGGCTATCAGGTTTCCTCTCAGCCTTCTCTTCTCCAAGCTAAACATACCCAGCTTCCTATGCCACTCCTCACAGGGCTTGATTTCCACAGCTTTGACCATTTTGGTCACCTTTTTCTGGACACATTCGAGCCTAGCATCACATACTGGTCTTACCTCTTGTTGAACTGGTTTGATATGCTGCCGGTCAGACATCCATCTGGGAGAATACTCCATTTGCTGAAGTCGTTTCTCCTTAGGAATGGGGAGAGAAGCCATATGCATCAGCACAGGTCCAGAAGCCTTTGCATTATAGGTAACCATTATTACTAATGGTAATAAAATAATAATCTACAATATTTTTAGCAAAGAGTTTTGTAATTAATTTCTCACTTATTCATTTACTTGAGTTCTCTGTTGCTTTAAAACAACAGAGAATAACATGTATCCAAAAGGTGTAGGCTCCAAGATGTTGATGAGATGGACAAGGAACCTTAAAACCCAGTTGAAAAACACTTAAATCATGTAGTACAATTCTCTTCCACACGGCAAGATGTATCCACTTCCCCGCATCTAGAACAGATTGTGTTAAAATGAGAGCATGCCCACATTTGCCAAGCAAGGCGCTTCAAAGGAAGGCATGCCTTCCCTCTTGGATACAAATTATATACTGAATTATATACCATAAAACTCTAAAAAATTTAATAGGACCATCTGCCTTTGAATCAATATTACACCTCAGGTATATCTTCTCCAGGAGCCACAATTTAGGTAGATTATTATAAAAACAAAATGACCTTTCTCTACTCTGCAAAGAATGCTCATGGAAACTATACTTTTAGATGTACCTCATCTGTAATTCTAGAGCAAACCCTTCTCTTTCCCTCATGTGCTCACTGGCTAACTCAAGTGAACCATGTGACAAGAAGGCACTTATAAAATAAACTCCATTACTTTTTGTGCAATCATGTTGCAGATCTCTGGCAGAAAGTCTTCACTCAGAAGTTTGTAGAGCTGTCTCTCTCTTAAAGATGTTCTTTCTCTGAAGCTCTCTGTGACTTGTCTCCATTCTTCTTCTGTTTGACACAGCAGCCACCATGTTCCATGACCTGGTCCTTTAGAACCTTTAAAAAACAAAGACATATTATTGCTAAATCTCTAGTGTAAGGATGGGGAAGATGTGTTCCTTATCTGTCTAGAATAAATGGACAAAAGATAACTCCAGTTACTCTCCTTTCCAGAAGAGGGGCAGAAGAGGAGCTGGGGTAATTCATAACAACTTCTTACCATTTCTCAGTTGTGAATCATGCACAGGTACATTTTCTTCTGCCTTCTCCCTGCAAGCATAAAGAAAAAAGGTCATGTGGTATTAAGATATAAACAAATTTAAACAAAGAAATATGCCTTCTACCATTAAGGCATCAGAGTTGTCTGTACATGGTGAAACAGGTATGGTTCCTCAGCAGTCTTATCTGTTTATTGAGGTTGGATCCACATTGCCATATAATGGTAGGTTACATACCTGTGACCATCTTTCTTCGAGTGGTGCTCTGCGAATTCACACTTGTGGAGAGACTGCGCCTGCGCGGGCTCCAACGGAAACTTCTACATTTTAAAACTTTTCAAGTTTTGGCGGTAACCCCGCCCAGCCCCGGCAGGGGATAAAAGGGCGCCCCGCGCACACCGATCCAATTCCTACGCCGCTACGGTAGCGAGAAATTGGAGGTTTGCTTAGAGGGGAGGCTGGGCGGGTTAGTGTGAATTCGCAGAGCACCACTCGAAGAAAGATGGTCACAGGTATGTAACCTACCATTTTTCTTCGTGGTCTCTGCGAATGCACACTTGTGGAGACTAGCAAGCTCAGGTCCCGGAGGCGGGAAGAATGCAAACCGACTATTCAAGTCAAGGGCCAAACAATTTGATTAAGTACCAACAGTTACCAAACAAGAGATTGTAATCACTTCCGAAGAAGGGCACAGTGCATAAGACTTATGGGAGTACGTGATCCTCCCGGTCACGTGAGGGTGACCAACCAACAGTGAAAGACACTCAATAAATGAGGGCATTCTTGAATAATTAAAGTGAACTCATGACCCTTGAAATAAACCACATGGTGATTGTCGAAGACACTCATTGCAATGAGGGCACATTAAGTAGTTACACAAAACAGTTTTGTTAACAAGTGCAAAACACATTTGCAAGGTAAAAGGCGTCGATATCGACACGAAACACTACCCGTGATGAGCCCCATTAGGCTATAGTGCAAGGTTGCCTGCGCCTCCGGCAGTAAAGGCATCAAGTGTAAAGGTGCAATTACATTCACCAGCACCGGTAAACAGTTGAATTCAAGTAAAAACATGGTAATAACATTCACAACAATATACGGTACCGAAGAAGGTCTCGGTACCGTTCAAGTATAAGAGAAAAACTTTGCCAAGTTCAGGGCGGACACGACCCCAGAATTGCCCTCCCAAAGGCCATGTCAGGTGTACACCTGGTATTCAGTCTATAATGTGAGACAAATGTCTGAGGATTCTTCCAAATGGCCGCTTTGCAAATAGCGTCCAGGGGAATCCCCTTAAGGAAGGCTGTCGATGCCGCCATAGCCCTGGTTGACCGAGCCCGGACAACCGAGGGGGGTTGTTGTCGAGCGAGCTGATAACAAAGCTCGATTGTCGAGGTGATCCAATGGGACAAGCGTTGCGCCGTGACCGGTAGGCCCACCTTCTCCTGGGCATATGCCACGAACAGTCTTTGAGTCCTCCGAGACTGAGCAGTTCTGTCCCTATAACAGAGTAATGCTCTCCGCACATCGAGCATATGAAGTCTTTTTTCCCTCGGGGTAGAGGGAAGGACACAACGAGGGAAGGACAATGTCTTCATTCACATGGAAAGGGGACACAATCTTAGGGAGGAATGTCACGTCCGTGCGGAGGACTGCTCTGTCCTCGTGGACAACAAAATACGGTTCGTCCACACGCAGTGCTGCAAGTTCCGAAGACCTACGGGCCGAGGTGATAGCGACAAGAAAAGCCACCTTCCACGACAGAAGTCGAAGGTCAATCGATGCCACCGGTTCAAAAGGCGCATGTGCGAGCCGAGCCAGCACATCGCTAGGCCCTTCTCGGAGAGGAAGGCCTGGAAGCGGTTAAGGCACGCCGAGTAGCACTTTTTGGTCGCTGGCTTGTGAGCTGCCTCCAGGATCGGAAGAACTCCTGGACACAGGGACCTCAGAACTGGATCCTCCACGCCAAAAGATGCAGAGAAGCGAGGTTGGGGTGGAGAAGCTGACCGTCTTCTCGGGAGAGTAGATCCTGCCGAAGTGGAAGGTGCCGAAGCCTGAATGGCACGGGCCAGTCTCATAGTCTGCCTGCCCCTTTCTGGAGTCTCCAACACTGGAGAAGTCTCCTGTCTTGCCATCACAGTTGTCAAGGTCGTGACCGACGGGAAAAGCTCCTGTCTGGCTGTCACATGTCGAGCTGGTGCCTCGATCACCGTGTCCACCGAGATGACCGGGGACTCGGGTTGTTCCGACGGCAGTTCTGGCAAAGGTTGTGGCTCCTGAGCAGGCTGTGGGGCCGGTTGGGGTTCAGCAGGCTGCAACGGCGATGACCTCGCCGACAAGGTGGCTGAGGAGGCGGTGGTGTGCTTTCGGGAAGAAGAAGAAGATGAGGATGGAGGCGGCATCGTCTTCTTCTTCTTTGCCGGCGGCTGAGCTGTCTTCGACACAGACTTGCCCGGGGTGGGCGGGACGGAGGATGAGGTGGAAGCACGCCGAGATTCTTCTTGAGACCGGCGAAAAGCAATGCGAACCGCCGTGGAAGATGGCGGAGTCGCGGACGTCGACCTCGTGGACCTGATTGATCTCACCGACGCCACTGAGCTGGTCGAAGAGTGCCGGATGCGTACGGTCTCGGTCGTGACCGTGCATGGAGCTTTTTGCTTCGTAGGCTTTGTAGCCTTGGAAGCTGTCGACACCGAGGCCTTAGAGGTTGTCGACATAGCTGCTCTCGGCCTTTTCTGTGCAGCCTTCTTCGCCCTTGTCTGGCGAGGCTCGGTCTCCGCCGAGGGATCTTGATGTCTTGATGTCGACGCTCCCTTCGACGTCGAAGCTGATGTCGAAGGCCTGGATACCGCAGCTGACGTCGACGCCGATGTTGATGTTGAAGGTACCGGAGCCAACGTCTGCTGGTACAGAAGGTATCGAAGCCGATGGACCCGGTTCTTACGGGACTGTGCCGTCAACGATTGACAATGATGACACGAAGAAGTAATGTGTGCCTCTCCGAGACACAAAAGGCAAAGAGCGTGCTTGTCCGAATCAGGGATCTTCTTCGGACAATTCGCGCATCTTTTGAAGCGAGTTGTTGACATAATACTGTCGAACAACTCGAGGAAATCTCTGTAGAGAAAACTATCCAAACTCTATCCAACTAGAAGTACCGAAGCGAGCCGTGCGGCGGAAAAAAAGGAATTGGATCGGTGTGCGCGGGGCGCCCTTTTATCCCCTGCCGGGGCTGGGCGGGGTTACCGCCAAAACTTGAAAAGTTTTAAAATGTAGAAGTTTCCGTTGGAGCCCGCGCAGGCGCAGTCTCTCCACAAGTGTGCATTCGCAGAGACCACGAAGAAAAATCCAGGTTCAGAATACAGATTAAATGCTTTGAACTGGATTATATGAGTCTACACTGCCAGTCAATGCAGTTAATCTGCATTCAGAAACTGAATTATATGGCAGTGTAGATGGGGCCTGAGAGTTTTTGCCACCTGTGACCTAATCTGCATCTGTTTGGAGGTCTCTCTCATCACCTGAGCTCCCAGCTCATGAGCCATTGTAAAGTTCAAACAAGCAGAGTAAGAATCTACACTATACTTAAATACTCTTAAATCTTGGGATCCTGTGATATTTTGTATGGAAAATAAGCAGAGTCCATTATTATTTTTAACGTATTTTAGTATATACAATCAGGAGCAACTTGAGAAACTGCAAGTTGCTTCTGGTGTGAGAGAATTGGCTGTCTGCAAGGACACTGCCCTAGGGACACCTGGATATTCTGATGTTTTACCATCCTTGTGGAAGGCTTCTCTCATGCCCCCGCATAGGGAGTCGGAGCTGACAGGGGGAGCTCATCCGCACTCTCCCCAGATTCAAACCTGCGACCTGTCGGTCCTCAGTCCTGCTGGCACAAGGTTTTAATCCATTGCGCCACCAGGGGCTCAATGGCTTTTTAGTGTCTAGGCACATTATATTTTGTCAGCTTTATATTACATATAAGGTTTCATACAGCATTAATGAAATATTATGCAATCTACTTAAACATAACTTCTCTGAAGAAAATATATAGATATGCATGGAAAATATTTATGTGAGCCCTACGATATTCATAGGAGCAGCTATCCATATAGACATCATTATTTTCATAATGGGTACATAATTATTTATATACAAATCATATCTAGCCTAACAAAGAGTGGAGTTTTAACAGCACAAGCTGACTCTTATCAACTAGAAAAAATCTTATTATCAGCCTTAAAGCTAATAATGAAGTGTTATCATCCACAGTGTGGCTTCTATTTCTTCTGAGCTGTTTTAGACCCTTCCAATCTCTAATCAGAGGCAGATCTGTGGTGGAATACTTGGAGGCCTATCATTCTTGGCCATTATCCATCAGTAACAGAGACCTGATACTATTAACCGTTTCATGCTGACACAGTTGAATTCATTATAAGTCAATTCTTTGTTTATAGTTAGGCTGGCTTCAGGCCTGGAACTAGCTAATACCTGTATTCTTCAGTATTACACACATTGTAATTACACACATTACAAACATGCTATTCAGACTTCAGGGCTTAGTTTTGCAAAATATGCCCTAACCAGTGCTCAAACTATGACAATAGAAACATAGCTTCATCTCAGCACTAAGAGAAAAACTATAAGATAAAGCCTAGTCTCTTATAACTCAACAATCAATTAAAATTTATTAAAATAATAAAAAGTTTCAGAGAAACGAGAGCATTTGAGCAATAACTGCATCCGCACAGAAAACATAACTGTTATGAGAAGTCTGTGCTGAAAATACCAGATGTCTTTGCTTTATCCTAACTTCCCTCATTTTAAAATTCTGAAAGAGTAACTCTCCTTAGGTCTTCTTTGATTCCAACAGTGAATGGAGTTTCTAGTGATCAAAGAAGCTTATGCAGCCTTTCTCTCCTATGACTTTCACAACCATATATCTACTACATCTTCACAATAAAAAGTTTCACTGTTTCTGCAAGTTTTACAATTAAAAGACCCAAATACATAACCTTTATATAAGTCACCATGGTTCTCTGCCCCCTGATCAGAGTTTGTTTTTCACATCCAATAAACCCATTCTATTCTAGAAGGTCAGTCAGTTTAGGATGAAGAAGCACAACAAAACAAAACACAGTGATATCTGAAAGGCCCAATGAATTTGAGGGATATTAAATATTTTTACTGCTTCTCATTTAAAAAAGTATACAGCCAACAGTATATAGCACCACTAGCACAAATAAAAGTACATAAAAGATTAAAACATCTTGGGAAATGAAAGGGGCTTCATTTTCACACCTGAAAAACATTAACATAGATCAAACCTGCACAAAATATGGCCTGCATGCCACATGTGCCCCCCCCCCCCCCCGAGGCCTCTGGTGCTAACCAAGTGCTGACCCCCCCCCCCCAACTTAAGGCTTTTCCCCACAATCTGCCGCTGTGCACCATGCGCCCAATTCACCCTGTTCCCATCACCAAGTTCCTCACTCATCCCTGTCTCTTTGGGTCATAGCCTGCCTAGGGATTCAAATAAGTAGGTGCATCTAAGAGTACTTGGAGTTGCACAACAATCACTCTCTCAAGAACCTGCCCAATACTGTAACATTTAGTTAAATGATAGTATTGTAGGCTTAAGTTCAAGGTAACTTCCCTCAGAAATGGCCTCATGACATTATTTTTATTTATTATCAAGATTTATACTCCCACCTTTCTCTGGATTACTTAAAGCAATTGAAACTAATTAAAACGACAACAGTAAAACACAGAAACAACAACAGAGGCAGGTGTGGCAGATAAAATACAATCGTCAATAAAATCATTTCAACTTAGCAAATTAAAAGTCTGTCAATAAAAAGTGTTCCAAAATAAAAACACCTTTACAAGCTGGTAAAAGGCAATCAGGAATGAAGTCATCTGAGTCTCATGTAGCAAACTCTTCCACAATATGGAGGCAACCACTGAGGAAGGCGTATCTCTTGTCTCAACCAAACATTCTACCCCTGTGGATAGGCCATAGAGAAGATGCAACCAATGACACCACTCCTGGGGACAGAAATGTAAAAGAGCCTCCCCATTTCCAGGTTGATATGGAAGGAGAAACTCAGGCATGTTGGATGAAAGTAATTTTTAGCTTTGGAAGTAGCCAGTGACAACATGAAATGTGCAGTGTTCGAGAACCCATGAAATCATTGGGAATATGTTCTGGTCCAACAAAAATTTCTGAATAAAGTTGGACCAATATAAAATGAATTGCAATAATAAGTTTAGAGGTTGGACGGCACTACTCCAGCAAATTTAGTGAGATTCTCAGCTTCATAATTTTTACATTTAGATTTTATATCAGTATACACAGGCTTTAAGTAGTGTACATTGATTAGAATGATATATAATGTAGCTCTTCATGTGATTGTGTGTTTTCGTTTAATATCTGAAGAAGGCCACTGATATATACATAGGCTGAAACATGTTGGGATTTTTCCAAACTAAAACAGCCAGCCAAAGCAGCACTTGGAGACATCTCTTTTTACTCTGGATACCACTACAGTTAGGCCAGACATCTTGAGAAATTGATATAAGTGGTGTCCTAGACTAAACTGACCAGGCATACCTCTGGTTAAAGCTGCAACCTAGACATCCGAGTGCAAAGATGAATTCAGGATTACCTGTACACTGTAAAACTGATTCTTCAAGGGAAGTTCTGCTTCACTGAATTGGAGATCCTTTGCTACAACTGTCCTATATGGATTAGATGTTCAACCCACTATGACTTTCAGACATCATTTCAAAAGATCTTTTGTGTTAGATGAAAAGGAAGAAGTGATGTAAATGCACCACTAATGAGCCTTCCCTCTTTGCTAGTCCACAAAAGCTAAACCCATCTATCCGCCTGCTCAGAGGAGATTGCTTGCACTTGTTCTGCAAGCTGAGAGGTGGTGGCTACCCTCATGGGTCCTTCTTCTGAGCTTGGCTGAGGTAGCTCCTATGTTGGCCTTTTAACCAGCATCTCCTCACCCTTGCTATCCATGCCAGCATGCAACCCAGCAGTTTATGCTCACCTGTCCCTTGTTATTCTTGCTGCTCACATTCCACAGCTTTCCTCAGTTTTTCATCACTATCAAAATTCAGACTATATAATCATCTACTTTGTAAAACATTGATGACACGAAGGAAATATTTACAATTGGATACAAAGGTGTGTCAAGCTACTGTGTCAAGCATGTTTTTTTTACCTCAAGAAATTCTCCTCCAGTAATTTTTTCCGTTTTGGAGGTCGGCCTCGTCTTTTCACTACTTTTTCTGGAATCATTGGAGCGTCAATCTGTGCCTCGCATCCCCTAGAACACATCAAAAAATTACAGACTAACAACAGAACCTCGTAACAGCAATTGGCAAGAACAGGAGGGTAAGGAAAGACAATAATAAACAGTATGTAACCGCAGCAATGAGTGAAGCTCATTGAGACTAACTCCAAGAAAGGGCACAGAGCCACATGATAGACAATTAATTCAAAAGAATGCACAATGTTTTGTTATTAGAAAAGGTCTAGTTTTCTGGAATGTATTACAAGTGAACTTTCTAATTTCAAATGGCAAGATTCTTAAGACCTTCAAACAGCCTGCTTGGCTTTATCTGTGCTTTAGAAGAACCAGACTAATAATTAGAATTGTGCTTGTATTGTAAAAAAAACATGGCTTTAAGTTCCACTTCTGTTATGAATTCCTTGTGAAACCTTACTTTTTTTACAAGTTTGATTTCTAAGTTTGTAACATGGAACTAACCATGACCTAACTTACAAAGATGCTCTGCATGCAACCAAAATGAACCAGCAAAACATTAATTTCTAAATGACAAACAGTAGTAACTGCAATACTAGTTATCAAGACATAGTTAACCTGTCAAAGGCCTAGCAGGGATATTTCAATGGTTGTTTCCTTTCCAAATGTTAAGCACCAGAGGACTAACTTGATCCACTTTTGCCCTGATGACAAAGAGAAGTTTGTACCTGTTTGAAGACAGCTCTCCATTTGATTTCACTGGTTCCTCTTTATACATTCGAGTGCCATAAAAATACCAGTAGAGGGCACCATTGCTATCCTCACCCAGCGGTTCCACCCGGAGGCTATCTGCATCCAGACCCTGCATTTCAAAGCACACACAAAAGTCAACATTTGGAAAACAGCAGTCAATACTTGTCCCTTAATACTCTTTCAAATATTAATATTTCTACAGTTCTGGACAGATGATAACACGGCTTCTCCTTTTCCTGAATATACCGTAATTTCTCATGGCCATGCACTTTCCATTTTGATGCTGTACTATTTGGTGCTCCCGACAAAGACAAACAGCACTAACTTTAGATGCAGCAATAGGCCATCACGAGTGAGCTTTGTACACATCAGTCAACACTCTCTAGCACTGTTGCACCAGCATTTTCCTGCTTCCCTGTAAATCTTCCCAACTTCTTAGACTAATCTGGAAAGCCTTCTTGTACCCTTTAAAGTAACTATAACTATTCAAATATCTGCTTGCCAAAAAAGTGGCCAACTGCGCCAATTTACACTGAGATATATGTGCTGTAAATATATTCATGAGAAAGGCTAAGTAAAGCTTGCTAAGACCTAATTCAAAGTGGCCTCTTATATCTTTAATAGCAAAGCAGCAGGTGGGCTCTCCCTCCTCAAGGGGCAGAATTCTTAAGTTCTACAAAGGCCATGCTTGGCTTCGGCTGCAAGCAGGTGCATCTTCTCCTACCATAGTTCTGCAGTAACAAGAGAAGCTACACCTGCTTAACTTATCTTTCCAAGGAGCTATGAAAGGGACCTTTCTAATATAATGGTTGCCTGCACAGGACAGTTTGGGAAAGGCATTGCCCATGGGAAATACACACACAGAACTGAGTGTTCTCATAATTTTGGGGGTAGGTTGGCTAGGAAGCAATCTTACAATAAAACTGGGTTCCTGCTGGCTCTTGTTCTTAGACACTTATAGAAAAACTGACAATCACAGTGTAAAGCTTTTCAAAAGGATAATTGGAGCAGAGCTATTCCACAAGCATTTCCAGACCACCACCTGAGGTTATGATAGCTGACTGATAAACTCATCTGTTATCTGAAGCATCTGGCCACATTGTGAGGAAAGAATTACAATTTTCCTGCTATCCCACATTGTCATACAATGTAGACTGAACTGCAAGGTGGGTTACATTCAGAGAACATAGACAAGTATCACATTTAAGAGAATCATAGAATCATGGATTGGAAGAGACCTCATGGGTCAACCAGTCCAATCCCCTGCCAAGAAGCAGGAATATTGCATTCAAATCACCCCTGACAGATGGCCATCCAGCCTCTGTTTAAAAGCTTCCAAAGAAGGAGCCTCCACCACACTCCAGGGCAGAGAGTTCCACTGATTAACAGCTCTCACAGTCAGGAAGTTCTTCCTCATGTTCAGATGGAATCTCCTTTCTTGTAGTTTGAAGCCATTGTTCCACATCCTAGTCTCCAGGGAAGCAGAAAACAAGCTTGCTCCCTCCTCCTTGTGACTTTCTCTCACATATTTATACATGGCTAACATATCTCCTCTCAACCTTCTCTTCTTCAGGCTAAATATGCCCAGCTCTTTAAGCCGCTCCTCATAGGGCTTGTTTTCAGGCTCTTGATCATTTTAGTTGCCCCTCCTCTGGACACATTCTAGCTTGTCAATATCTCTCTTCAATTGTGGTGCCCAGAATTGGACACAATATTCCAGGTGTGGTCTAACCAAGGCGGAATAGAGGGGTAGCATTACTTTCCTAGATCTAGACACTGTGCTCCTATTGATGCAGGCCAAAATCCCACTGGCTTTTTTGCCACCACATGACATTGTTGGTTCATGTCCACGAGGACTCCAAGATCTTTCTCACACGTACTGCTCTCGAGCCAGGCATCCCCCATTCTGTATCTTTGCATGTCATTTTTTCTGCCTAAGTGGAGTATCTTGCATTTGTCCCTGTTGAACTTCATTTTATTAGTTTTGGCCCATCTCTCTAATCTGTCAAGATCATTTTGAATTCTGCTCTTGTCCTCTGGAGTATTGGCTATCCCTCCCAATTTGGTGTCATCTGCAAACTTGGTGAGAATTACAAATCGTTACATGCTGCTTTAATCAAATGGTATCTTGCTATTATATTTGAATCGGCTAACTATAGTTTTGAATAAATTTCCTGATTCAGAATCAAACAAAAGTTTGTTGGTTCAGAAAAATAAAGGTCAATTTAGTTATCTTAAAAATGTAATTAAACCCCATCCATGCAGTTAAATCCTACACTAGTACATCTCTCATTCATGATTTTCCAATGCAAGCCAACATCTGAATTTATAAGTTGCTATCCCAGCACAAATGGCTATTTGAAAGCCTCAAAATTATGACGATAGTAATGAAAAAAGACTGGCCTAGAGACACAAGAACACTTCACACAGATATATTAATTACCTTAAGACTGTTATGTGTCCTTAGTCTGATTTTAATAAACAATTCTCGTAAAATCAAACCATATTAACCCATGGCATTTATAATTTGCAATTAATTTATTTAAGCTATTGTACATATAGTGTGAAAATGATGCTAATAGAATGGCATTAAAATACAGCTAGAGACAATTATGATGTCAGGAAGCAAACATTCCCAAGAGCTGTTGCTTAGTCTCATATGATTTTACCTGACTGCTAAATCTGTTAAAATCAGGATAGTTTCTTAGTATCTCCACAATCTACAATAATTCATTATTTAAATGAAATACTTTTCAAATAGATAAATATAAAGGCAGGGCCTATTTATTATAGGTTTGGTTCAGTTGAAGAACCACTACCAGTGAGGCATCAATACATGGTGGAAATACCAAAGGCAGTGAGTAATGTTCTATTTCATGCATCAGGTTCCTTCTGTTCTCTATTTTGGGGGAACTGTATATACCAAAGGTAATCTACCAAATGAATCTGTCTTTTAAGTGAGCTTACTTCCACAATGGGTCATGAAATGCAGCTATGAGTAAAATGAGATGTCTTTTTGATGGAAATGTGTATCATTCCATTTCCCATGTTCCCCATCTAATATCTGTCATCTTCCAACACACCTTGAGTAGGTCAAACACATCATCAGCATCTAGCCGGTAATCACAAAGGCGATGCAGTATCTCCACACGGGTGCGTAATGGAAGTTCCTGGAAAGCAGTTTCTCGCAGGGGATTGGGCTTGCCTTCTTCCAGTTCCCAGCGATAGTTGATGATATCTTCAAGGTAGCCATGAAATGTCTGAGATCTGATAAAAGAACAAATGTTTATATCATCACTGCCTTAAACAACTGGGTAAAATGGACAAAAAGCATTTGATGCAATGAAGGAAAAAGATCTGGGTTTTATAAAAGCTCTGTTAAGTCTCTAATAGGAAAATGCTTTAAGTCTTTCCAAGTTCTTTCCAAGTGCTCAGCTTTTTCAAAAGGATTTACGTTAAATTAAACAAGTGCACAGCATCTTCTCATGCAATATTTTTCTCCAAGAAATATTATCAAAGTGGTTTCCATGAAGGCATATTAAAATGTTAGGAATTAATATACACAAACATTACATAGATTATTTCATCACAGGAAAAGATGAAATACAGGAAAAGGTGCCATATGAATAATTGATTAAAACTAGCCAACAAAAAGATATACTAGCTTTAAAAAAATTAAAAGGAGAGTTTAGTATCTCACCTAAATTAGTAAAGTCATGCTCATAATTAAAACGAGTTTCATTCCCAAAAATCATAAGCAACAAAAAGTGTACTGAGCATGTTCAGCAAGTGTACAAAACAATAATTTAAACCTTTAACTTCAACTAAAAGTAATAATTCAGAAAAAGTTTTTTTCCTTGTATTTTGATGCCTTTTCTTCTATATATCAACATGCCCACAAATTAAATTCCTAGCATCATAGCTTTAAACCAAAGAAGAAAAATTCTTTTGTTTTTTTTTACAAATTGTAACTAACAAAGTAGGTTAATAAACCAAGATCAGATCAAGCATTATGTCTGAGAAAAATCAGTTTATCTCAAGATGAAAATTTGGTGGGAAGAGGATGATTTTGCAATATAGAACTTTACTTTCTCTAATTTATCAGCTATTTTGGAATATTTTACAACAGGAAATGTGTAGGTATCTGATTTGGTTATTTTCATAAGTCACATTGCTACATCCCTAAGATCAGGACTTGAAATTCAAAATTCCATTGTTTAAAATCTTCCTTACCAAATAATACTATGGACTGAGAGTACTGGATTAAATTATATTTTAATTCAACATATAATTATCGGATTCTCTGTACCTGTTGGAAAAAAGAATCCCAGTTGCAATTACTAAGCAAACCAGAAGAAAATCAAATGGACATACTTATGTAGTAAAACAATTACTTTTATGGCTCTTTCACATCCAAACATCCAATGATTTATCATCACCCCAAACTGCTGACATCTACAATCCAATTAAGAGACTCCAGGTCCGGATTTCCTTGGATTTCCATTCATTTGGTGATTAATGGCACACACCACTCTCTGAAAACACTGACCAGTTAAGATTGTCATCAGTTAGATTGACATAATAAAATCTAATTAAGATGCCATTCTTCAGCCTGGATTCTTGTCATAATTGAGAACTGGATTTAAAATACATTTCTCCAGGCAAAATTTTGTTTCAGTTCATCAAGTTGTAAATTGTTAGTTTCTGTTTGAGTTATAAATGATGAAAATAATTATTTCTAATTAAGAGCGTGCTTTTTATAATGCAATTGACTAATTAAAGGTAAATTTGCTACATTGTTGTAAAACTGTTTTAGGAATTGAGGACACAATTTGAAGGAAATATAGGAATTAATTCAGAGTTTATAAGAATAACATTATTATGAATTATTTGAATTCAGAAAACAGGCTCATTGTGTTTTAGAATGCAGAATGCCTTATACTGGCAGAGTTGAAAAAGTAAACTGAAACATTTCTCTTTAAGGGGTGGGAGCCATATGGAATTTCACTTCCAAACCCACCTACAACTATCTTCTGGAGTTTGGGGTGATTTTAAGGACCATTTCATAAATCCATCAAATTCTAGGCAAAATGCTGACAGCTGGAGCAGCTTTACAAATTTCAGGAAATGGTTGAAGAACCTTGAATCCTAGGATTTGTTGTCAATATCAATAATTTGTTGGAAGAATTATTTTTGTATAAATCCTCAATTTTGGATTTTCTGGAGGCATTTTATTTTTAAGCATAAACATTTGCTTCACTATGTAATGTGTGCATGTGTGTTCTTAGGTGATCAATTTAATATTTCTGTAGTAGTTAATAAAATTATCAGGAAATTAGTGCAAGGAGGAATTCACCGCAAATTGGTGTTAAGCAACAAAGCACACTGGCTAGTCAGGCAGCAGCAAGCATGTTCAATGGTGCAGTTGAAAAACAGACTGACATAAATCTAAAGAGCCTTTCTTTCTTTTCTCTATTTTTCTTGCTGTTCAAAACAAACAAGCTGAGAAATGAAATTTTATATTTCTGGAAAGTGGCCAGGATTCTAGTAGTGTATTCTCAACCCCCCTGGGAAAATGTGTATGTTGACTCAACCAATCATCTTGGGTATTTGCCTTTGATTTTTACATAAGTGGTTAAAACCAACTTCCGCCCTTCTGCTCAACATAAGCTTCACTGAGCCTCTGTTCTAAGTGGAGCACGCCAGGTCCTCTTGTCAATTTGTGTAGGCTATCACCGCATGGTTGTCGCTTTGATTCAAGCTATAATGAGAATCTGGAACGCAAACCAGATGTTTGACAGAATTTTCAGTTACCTTCAACTCCAGCTTTATCTTTCCTTCTGTCACAACCATTTCCCCAAACAAGCATAACCCTACTCCCTTCCCAAATCAATATTACTGGTACTTTATTATTTACTCCTTTGAAGAGCACTACTTGGAAATAATTGTGAAAAAAAGCCCATCCCCATTTGTAAATTGTTTTCAAAATGTAAAACAGCATGTAGGAAATCAAGGATGTAAATTTAAGCACTGTGGATACAAAGTCTCCAATCCCGTTAAACAAAATTAAGAGGAGAACCATGTTATTAGAAATGTCAACAAATATTTAGCTGAGAACAGAAAGATGAATACAAGCAGTGTAGGCTAGTTATTATTATTTTCAATCATGTTAATAGTATTTTTAATCTATTACAAATAAAATGAGGCTTAAAGCCATTTTTGTCCATGACAGAATGAGTTTTTCCCTCATTGATTGGCCCAAAAATAAGAACCACTGAAATTATTTGGCAGAATAACAAATAAACACACCATGAGAATATTGCTTGCAACAACGGAACAAGATAATGTTACATACATTCCACAGTTTGGGACCAAAATAAAACTGTTTTTCCATAAATCTGAATTTGAAGGGAAAGATATATGATCACACAGATGTTCTAGGGTAATTTTTTGATGCCTCGGAGAAGAAAAGAGGCAGAGATATTTGAAACAGAAGATCTCTGAATATCTGAAAGTAGAGGAGTTATCATTATTAGTAAAAGAGGTGGGAAACTATGGAGAAAGGTAAAGCTAAGCACAGGGTTATTCCTGGATCCACAGATGGGAGCTAAAGAGAAGGACTTGAGGAGAAGTTTCAAATACTTGGAGTGGTGAGAACAATCAATGACTCTAGTGCAGCAGGGCTATGAGTAGAAAGAAGGAAGAGATAAAGATGCAACTATGGTATGCCAGAAAGACACACCGTGAGATTTCACTTTGGAATTATCACTAAGAAAATATAATGGCAATCAAATCCATTTGGCATCAACTTTTTCAGTACTGTGACTACATATTAATTCATGATACATAATACAATAACATTTAAAACATGTTTTACCTGATTTTTTTAAAAAACCCAAAAACCATCATACATTTATTCATTTTATTTATTTCTTCCTTTTAAATCTTTTTGTATTATGTACAACACAAATTAAATAACTTACTGGAACAGGAAGCAGAATACATTTGTCCTATCTAAATAAAGGTGAAACATTACTAGGACTGACCACTATTTATTTTCTTTTAAAGTTCTAGAATCATTCACATCATAGAATCATAGAATCATTGAGTTAGAAGAGACCTCATGGGCCATCCAGTCCAACCCCCCTGCCAAGATGAGGGAAAGTCACATTTAGAGTTATAAAGTTTCACCTTGGCTGGAAGAGAGAGAATCTTAGTTCAGAAAAAAACATTCACTAGAAGATGGAAGACTAAGATGTGTAATCTTTCTCTGAATCAAAAGGATTTTTTTCTAGTGACAGGCAAGGTCAGAAATGCTTTATTCTGAATTGCCAGGCAATATTTTCTTCACAAATGCAACTTGTCCAAAAGAAAGAAAAGACGACAGGGAGGAGTCTAATACATGTTTGAATGACCTCATTTAGACATCATTAGTAAGGTCAGGAGAAGCAAGGACTGTATCAGGAGAAGTAGAAAAGGAAAAGCCTAAAGGATTGCTAATGTTCTCTCCCTTGCAGCAATCTATCTATCATCAGTTGTCAAAAAAGGACTTGTTTCTGATTAAGGTCAACTTAATCTGAGTTACAGCTGCAGGTCTGACCCCAGACAGCTACAATGGAGTTTCTTGCTTATCTTTGGGTTGGTGGGGAGGGGTCCAAAGAAGCCTTATAGCATAATTGTAACAACTATGAAGAAACTATGTCCAGGAAGGTACTCAATAGAGCAGTGGAGGAAAGAAAAGGAACAAGAGAAAGAAAACACATTTGTACCTATTCAGACACTAATAGATCAGTGAGAAAATACTAGTAGGGTGGATTGAGGTAAATTAATGAGGGAAAGGTTCACCAATGGCGAAGCATAATTGTAATGAAAAAGAATCTGCACATTCTTAAACAGAATAATTCAAATCATGGTTTTTAAACTTTTAAATAAACTCCCTTGTGAGGACTGAGGAGAGTGTACTTTAAAAAGACTATTAAGTAAACGTAACAATTGGGCAAGGATGGAATGGGTAACAACAGGGTGTAAAGTGAGAATGCTCCACCCCTGCAGGATTCCTCTAGGTGGATTACGACAGAAACTTTGTGGATATGTTAAATGAATTTCTCATAAATTTGGGGTGATTTTTTTTTAAAGCACATTCTAGACTTCCCATTAGTTCATCTCCGCATACATGGATTTCTCCAGATAAGAACTAAAATTAGGTCAGAAAATGTGAAGTCAGTATAAAAAAACCCTGGCCTTTGTCTAGCATCTCCCTATTGGTT